TGGGCAACCTGTGCCAGGGCTCCCCACCCTCACAGGGAAGAATCTCTTCCCAGTATCCCATCTATTCCTGCCCTCTGGCAGTGGGAAGTCATTCCCTGTGTCTTGTCCCTCCATCCCTTGTCCCCAGTCCCTCTCCAGCTCTCCTGGAGCCCCTTTAGGCACTGGAAGGGGCTCTCGGGTGTCCCTGGATCCTTCTCTTCTCCAGGTGAACCCCCCCAGCTCTCCCAGCCTGGCTCCAGAGCAGAGGGGTTCCAGCCCTTGGAGCATCTCCGTGACCTCCTCTGGACTTGCTCCAAGTCCCTCTCGTGCTGAGGCCCCAGCCCTGCACACACTCCTGGGGGATCTCAGGGGGGCAGAGTACCCTCTGTGACATGTGTAGGAAGGGAAGTTCCTCCCCTGCTCTCCCCCTCTACATATCCATTAACCTCCTCTGTAGAAGCAATAAACTTACTGAACCAACACCTAACAGGGGCACCTTTGCCCACTGCCCTCTCCCCTCTGCTCAGGCCACCTCCCCACCTGCCCTTCCCCAGCTCTGCCTGCACTGGCAAACCTCTGCCCTGTACACATCCCTGCAGGTACCAGCCACCTCTCCTTCCTGCTTCCCAACACCTGCCTTCTCCTGCCAGTCTTCCCTTTGCACCAAATAATCACACAGACTCATTTAGAAAACAAGAATAATACACACACAGAGGAGAACATACAGGAAAACACTGGCAAAAATGAAACAAACCCCACAGGACAAAGACTCAAGTAGTTTAAAAACCCCCAATCTGTTCTTTGGACTTGTTTTAATTCTCTGCCTTGTTCTTGTGCTTCACCAGGCAAGCTCCAAAGTGCCACCTCAGAGATACTCACAGCTCCTGTACTGTCAAATACACAGCCAAGATTGGGTATGACTCACGAACACCATAAATACTTCTGGGTTTATATTGGAATAGAGGAAACCAGGTAATTCTGCTGTGAAAGCTGACTGTAACTATCACAGCCCACCTAAAAAGTCAGGATTTAGAATATTTTTCTTTTGATGGCTACCCCATTAGTATTAGTGTTTTACTTCTGTATAGACCAGCTACCACTGAAACAAAACTGAGTGGCAGGGTAGAGTCACAGCTGGCTGCCAACATGAGCAGGCAAGAATGCCAATCCACCTCTTTTATCACTTTTGCCCAGTTTGCTGAAAACCTGAAGTTATTAGGTGCTCCTGAATATTTGTGTTTATGCTTTTCCAAGTTCCTGGAAAGTCATTCTGACATTCAGCCCAAGCTTCAAACACAGGTTCATTTTTCACTATTCTTCCAACCCAACAGAGACGGAGGATACAGTAAAGGTGGCACTAGTCCTCCTGCTTGGTTTTGGCACCCCTGCCCACCTCCAGCTCCCTGGCAGTCAGCCCATGGAGCCAGAGTTAGGAAATGCCAGCAGATGTGCAGATGTTACCGACGGTGTCCAAGCCCCCAGCACACGTCACCCACTGACACAGTTCTGTGTGTTCACAGAACAGCCTCACCATGCACTGGGAACATGTTTACACCTTTTTTGGGGGGGTAATATTTTTCCTTTTTAAAACCCATGGAGCTCCAGAACAGCATGAAGAATAGAAAACATTTTTGGCAAGCCCTTCATTCCCAGGTATCTTTAAATAGTGCCTGTAAGTACCCAATATTCAGTATACTTGCACAGAAGGCAGCTCACATTCCTAAGCATATTCCTTGACCAATGCCAACCAGAATTACCTGTAAAAAAGAATTATTACACCATATCTTCACACAGATGACAAAGACAGAAATCACCACTATCAGGCAGTTTGACTTCAATTCTTTCTAACATTTCCTATTACAATTCAAACTACTGCTGATGAGACTCTACCTGCATTTCCATGCTTCCTTAAAACATTTGGGAAGGAACATTTCAGTGCTCCTGTGACACAACTGGATGCCTGAAGTTCCCCCCGCCCCAAGAAAGCTTCTAACCAGGATTTGCAGCCAAACTTCCACAGAAACAAAGCAAAATATAAAGTTTTGCTTTGCATCCCAGTTATTTCATTGCTGCCTACACTTCTGATGACAAAAAATAAAATCACTTACTCTTATTAAGCACACCATCAGTCTCTCTTCTGAGCTATTTCCAGCCTTCACTTTGCTAAAAAAATCATATAAAATATTACATTCACAGCAAACAATTTGCTGCTTGTGGTAGAAGCATCTCAGGTAAATCAGAGACAACTCAGGAAAGAGAGTCTTCTGGTTCCAGGGGGAAAGAGAAGACTTGAAGACAGACACACAGCTGCCCTGCTTATTAATGACAGTGGGTGGACAGTAAAAGAAAATAATAAATTGAAAAATACATTTTTCTATTTAAATGTATAGTTAATATTTTATATATATAATTTTTTTTAAAATGTATTTTGCATCGTGGGACAACTCACTTCACTCCTACCCCTTATGAAAACCCTTCAAGGAGGCATCTCTCTGTCCAAAAACCCCCAGAGACAACGCAGAAGCAAAGGTACAAATACTGTTGCCCCCAGCCCCTCATTTCTGACCATCACACGGGACCAGCGACAGCTTTTCTCAAAACCAATCCCCCACATGAGGAGATGAGACAACCTGCCCTAACAGCTTCCTGCTATTTATTCCAGTTGAAAAAAAAAATCACAAAAGGCATAAGAATCCCCGTGTTTCCTATTTATCCAGCCTTTATTTCCAACATAAAACCTTACTATAACTTTCTCTAATGGGCTGGAAAACTGCTTAGTGCTCCTTATTCTTTTGTTGCAAAGGCATTTTTGATCAAAAGAAGTGACAAATGATGGTGTTACCAGATGGACTGAGGAAGTACAGCCTGAGCTTCCCTTTCTCCCTCTTGGAAAGCTATTTTTCCCCATCCTTTATGTTATTTCCCAAGTTCTTTTTGTCCTTGCAGTGGACACAGCTGTGATTCAGCAGAGGTGTAACATCTCATGGGGCTCATGCCTCCGACCACTGACACACAGGTCACTTGTCTGGTTGTGTCACACTATTCCCTTCCTCCTCTTTTGGCCACTTCTCTCCCAACACCACACAGCCCTCTCCTCCCTCAACTTCAATTTCCCCTTTAGGTTGGAATTCAAAGGGTACAAATAGCAGAACGATGCTCAACTCCCAAACCAACTCTTGTCAAAGCCCTTTATATCATCCTACTGCCCCATTTTCTGTCACTCACAGCATTCTGTGCCATCTTCATGGCCAAAACACCCAATAAAACCCACACCAGGAATGTTTGCCATCTGCCCTTGCATCTCTGTTGCAGCCACCCTGGTCCTTACGGGGACTTCATGCCCCAAACCATCCCAGGCATCACCCACACCAGGGCTCCAAGCAACTCCTCCAAGCAACAAGGAATGATGTGAAATGAAGAGCAGGGAATCCCAACCTCTCCATGCTCTTGGCAAATCACCTCCAAAAGACTTCAGTCAGCCCTGTGGATTCCCTGGAACAACTGCTGTGGTTGAGAAGGACATAAACCCTCTAAGATCAGTGTCCTGAGAGAGGGACGTTCCTGCTGCTCTCTCTGTGATATTCTGCCTTCCCCACAGGCTTTGAGACAGAGACACCAAGACTGCAGGAGGTAAAATTAACTCTAAATTGATACTAATGAGTGATTTAAATAAGAAAAACAACCACTCACTTTTCCACAGTTACAAGAGGGCAAAACACCCACATCGAATACTTCAAACTGCTGCAGGAGTCTCGGGGGAAAGACACCAAAACACCACGAAAAGCACATCAGAAGAAGGTAAGAAGTGACTTCACAGAGCAAAATCTGTGCCCTCACCATCACTCTCTATAAATCTTCAAGTATATGTAACTCTGGAGCCAGCTAAACCATTACTACGTAGAAGGATTATTTACTTTTCGCCCAGTTTGGCAACTAAGAATTGAAATTAAATTGCTTAATAAATTTGCACAAACGTTTTTCCCTGTGCAGTCAGTGACCCAGTCGACTCAGGAACGTGCAGGTCCCAAAGCAGAGGCACTGGAGCAGTTCCTCCTTGGCACATCTCACCTCACGAACAACTACAGAGCTACCAGTGCTACACGGGTTTTTTTCCTTCTACATGCCAAAAAAGACAATGGTTTACTACCCAGATCTAGTTCTCTTGCTTCTAAGGGATTACAAAGCAGCTCCTCACTGTTATTTTCCTCTACTTTGGCTCAATTTTTCATTTTTCAAAAAAAATGAAGCCAGCAAAACTTATTAGTCAAACAACCCCCAGTTGTGAGGAGAAGGAAGACATCTGGAAACCCAGGCCAGGGTGGGACAGAATGGTAAACTGGGGTTCTGGATGTGCACTCATCCCTTTTTTTGCCTCCCTCTGTATCACCCCTCAGCCATGAAAACCAGCACTGAACACACACACATTGCAATGGCTTTGTCCTGCTACTGAACATACAAGGGGAGGAAAAGGTGCCTGTTTGCTGTAGGATACTTTCACAGCATTTCTGAGGGTGGTATTGTCACGGTGCCCGGTACAACAAGCAAGGGTCAGCACACACATCCAGCTGGCCCCTCTCTCAGCCCAGTACTCACTCCAATTCCACTCAAACAACGGCTCACAATCCCCAAGCCACCAGCTACTGTTCTGTTGAAGGAAGGTTAATATTAAACATCGAAAAGAAGAAAACTTTTAGTAAGTTGAAACTGAAGTCGAGCAACAGGTGGTAATGATATGAGTATTGCTGTGTATCATTGTTAATAAGCAGTTTGGAATTAAAAAATATATATTTTATATATATATATGTATATATATATATATACTGCAGCCCACGTATCCCTTAAGATTATTCCAAAAGACGATTTTAAAAAAAAATCGGATTAGTACTGAATGAAAAGAGCTGGACATTTATAGGAAGCATCTATCTGGAGTAATTTTAGTCTATGTCCTCCTCCACATTTGAGTTCTGAAAAGGCTGTCAGACACATAGCAAAAGGTATGTCCTTCAAGGAGGGCCACTTACTCCACATGTCTCATTCTGTGTTTGCATGGGGTTAGCCTTTGGCTCCATGTCTTGCCTTTTTTGGTTCTGCTTCAGTTGGTTTAGAGAAGGTTTTGTCTGTGCAGCTCCAACAGTTTTGCTCGTCCACTGGTCCACCAGCTTGTGCAGGTCATCTGTGAACGTCCCTTTCTTGTTGTTACTGTTGTTGGCCTGAACCTGCAGCGTCGACTGCGGGAGGGGCTCAGGACACGTCACCAGGCTGTTGGTCGAGGATCCTGGAAAATCACACAGAGAGAACTGACAATGACATCTCTGCCTCAGCTCTGCAGCTCAAACACCTTCTCATCTACTGCCACTCCAATGGTGGCTTTTCAGACTTTTAACCCTCCCCCTCCTGGCTACAGAACTCCTTTGCTTAAAGAAATGGTCCAAGTCCAATGGGTCTGTATTTTCTATCACATCATGTTACCTTGGCCACTAACGTCTCTCTGGGGAAATTAAGGACAGGGAGAGAAGCCAGGAATGCAGCCCAGTAAAGCTGCCATCCTGAGGCAGACAACACCTTATCAGAGACTACCACGAGAAAGTGGGAGGTGGGATGTATTGCTAGAACTGCAGGCATTCATAAAATTGATTTACCATTTATTTTGCTTGCATAAGTTTACTGTCCTCCTGGAAAAATGTAATTGTTGCAGAGGTTACAGGTAGGACTGGCTCCTGTGCCTCAAAGGCTCTGGGAACCCACCATCTCTCTCGATGACGTCGGGACCATTTATTTGGCCACCTGCATATTTTTGGGGAAAAAAACCCCATCGGGACCACGAATGTATAGAAGACAAAGGAGAGAGAACATAGTGGGGGGTGAATTTTTGAGACAAAGATAAAGAACTTTTGGTATAGATAAAAGCAGTCAGGAAGAGTATTGACAGAGGTTTTAAGTTTATATGTTCACTAGGGAAGAAAATTTTCTGTGCTTGTCCTGTGTTGGTAACTACAACTCTGACACAGCAAGCTCAGCAGGGAACTGTGACTGAAGGAGCCTGATCTGACCTAAGCAGGAAATGTAAAGTAACTTTTCAGCTAACATATTTGAGATAGCTAAAGATTGGAAATAAAGACCATCTCTCCAAGCAAAAAGTTCACAGAACTGTAGTATAATGATTATATAAGCAAACATGAACATTCAGTCTTCTTTTCTCTGTTAATCAGTTACCAGCCAATGAAACCGAGTCCACTAATTAGTCCTACGCTTATATAGAATACGTTAATAACCTTTAAATGATCATGCATTCAACCTGCAACGTCACTTCTGAGTGAATACTGCTCAATCCCTTTTCCTTTACTTGGGGGAAAGTGAGAAAAATAAGGCTTTTGAGAGAAAAGCTCTTCAATTGGTGTTTAATATTTCATGCAGCTCAAGGGGGCCGGGATGGTTTTAAGCTATCAATTCCTCCAGCAGAGAACTGCAGTCATATAAAGGTGTGTATTTCAGAGACAAACACTGAACCCAGTTTCCTGGCCGCATGCGTGCACGTCTCACACACACACAGAACACCACGACTCTCTTGCAGCATGCGAGGTTCCCAAGACATCACAGCACATGCATTAGTCTCAAAAGTACCACAATTTAGATTTCTCGTATAAGTGCATCAGCTCTAGTTATTAAAAACAACTAGCTTTTAGTAAAAAATAATAATATAAAAAAAGCAAAGAACATCCCATGCCATGAAGGAAATACTGAGAAACAAAAATGGGATAGTTACTACTACTGTGATCTTTGCCTAGACATAGTCGTTTCAAGGTGGACCCTACAAGGTAAAACAATACAAGACACACAGAATTAGGTAAGACTAAACACAACGAATTGGACGGACAAGCTTCTGTACTTTTAAGCAATCAAAAAGTAGTTATTATGCAAGAAAGGACAGACAAAGTCAGCAGTTCAGGTGAGTAAAGGAAGCCTAAATAACTGGACAGCTCAAACCTTTCTTAATGTGCAGCCATTCAGAAGCTTTGGAAAGTACCACAGCATGCCAAAAGCAAGGGCTCGTGACTTAAAGATGCATTTGTTTGGGTTTTGGTTCTTTTTTTTTTTTTTTTGGTGTTTTGGTTGTTTGTTTGTTTTTTTCTTTTCCTTTTTTTTTTTTTTTTTCCAAATCACCTTGGCTTCCTAATAGGAGGTTTTGATTCGTTAGCTATTAATGCAGGAAATGATGTCAATTCAGTTTGTGATTGGAGGCCAAAAATGCTTTCAGGAACAAGTCAAGCTAGTCTGGCTGCAAAGACAAACCATAAAACAACCCTAAAACTGCTGTTTTACAAGTCCAAAAAGATACATTGTTCTGCAGGTCTGAGGCCAATTGTTTCCAAATATTTTATTCGGTAGGATTTGTGTCTAAATGTGAGATTCTGAACTTCAATTGAACGGAACTGTGAATGAGTTTCCCTTATGCCTTGTCCAAGTGCAGAAAAATAATCCAGCAGAGTAGCTGAGTTTTAATTTATCTTAACTATGTGTTTTTTTCATTATTATCTCGTTCCATCCTTCATTGTGATTTTACATAGTCTTTTGACAGATAGCAGAGTGCCAAAGTATGCCGAGACCCCGACTCGACTGTCAGATCTTGCCAGACATCGGCACCGTTGCTATTTGGGTGCCAAATTTCCTGAAAGGTATTTTGGACTTGGTAAGAAAAATATTGTTATGGCATGGGAGGAGATGAGTGTCTGACATGGGCTATGGAGAGTTCGTTGGGAAGAAGCACTTGAAAACATGAGCAAAATCAGAGTGGGGTAAAAAAGTAAGGTAGAGGATGGATGTGCTTTTTCTCTAGAGTAAACAGTGGAGGTATTTGATGTTACTGTGCCAGAAATAAAGATTTAAACTCAGAGATTGCAGGTCCAGGCTGACACAGGCCCTGAATGAGTCTTCAGAGGAGAAAGAAGAGATGTCAGTCAGAGACTGAGGAAGAGAAAGTAAAGAAACAACGGAGGAAGTAAGGAAGAAGAGATGTTTGTGCTTGGATATGGGTGGCATGAGGAGGAACAGAGGATTGCTTTGAAAGAATTTCTTATTATTTCATATAGTTCATATAGGTTTCTATCCTGGGAAAATCAGAAGGACAAGACTACAGCAATGCAAGCATGACCATGTTTAGTTCTCATCTCAAAGCCCAGATAACAAACACAGTCACATTCACAACTCAACCATCTGTGTTGTATTCTTAAATCTTTTCCCCTCTTTTCCCTCAGATATACCTTACCTTGCCTATCCCAAAGTTAGCTACCAACTCCCATTATGGAAAGAACTCCCATGATGGAACTGGCCGTGGCAGCAATCCTAGGAGGTTATTTCCTGCAGCAAAGGCAGTACTTACACAATATGAATGCGAATGGAAAGCAACTGCCTGCGAGAAATAAAAGCAGGCAGCTGACTGCAGAACGTGCTCAAATGCATGTAAAAATGTTTTAATCACCAGCCCCTCCACTTCCTGCACACCCAGGCACAGGTTTCCCTGCACCTCAGGTGCCAAATCTGCCCCAGGGCCTCCAGGCTTGCGGGGAAGTGACGGAGAGCGGCGACACTTGACAGACTCACAAAACACTGTGTGAGGAGAGTTGGCTTCAAGGAAAATATCACAGGAGAGTCGGTCACCAAAAAGAGAGCTGCTCCTTCCAAGCAGCATCACTCCAGCATGGGGCCTGAGACGGGAAACCTTCCCTAAGTGGTGATACAGCCTGAAGCAGGGACTGACAGTCATCAGCTACAGCAGGTTTTGAATTCAAACTCAATTAAAAATTCACTTTGTAGACCTAATTCACCAGATTAATTGTATTACTGCTAAAATCAAGGTGTTTAAGAACTGTAAAGTTAGGAGATGAATCATAATTAAGACTTAATGTAAGACTGTGAAAGTTCAACAGTGTTTTACCTCCAATTCCAGATTTCTTATGTGAGGAATTAAATAGCTATTATATCATAGAGGACAGAAAAAAATCCCCTGTCCCATATTTGCACTCTAACAGCTGCCAAAAAGCTGGAAAGCTACAAAAAAATGGAAATGGCAATAAACTGCTAGGCCATTTCCATAATTGCATATGCACATACAATATATGAATTGCTACAGACCTGACAAAAACTGCTTTACACAAGATTCCAAGCCTCAGCCAAATGGAGTTTTGAAAATTCCTCTCACAATCAGCAGAAACTCTTCCCTAGGACGCCCTTGCAATTTAACCCAGGAAAGGAATTCAGGCTAAAATTATGTTGGAGCCCATCGAAAATATTTTATTTCATGAAATGTATGAAGGAGAAATCAATATTGGGCATGGGGAACAGACCAAAAGGTCCTGGAGAACACTGTAAAAGTGTTCAAGTTTGATGGATCTTATAACCAGAGCAAGACACTTGTGATACTGCCTTTAATGCATCTGAACATTTATTTTTCAAGTTGCTGCTGACTTTTCTGCTAATGCAGCAAGAGGTCTCCTGATGGAATATCCCACCTCCCCAAAGGGCTGGTTTTCCGTGTTCAAACATACAGATTCAGAGCATTTCTGAAAATCCAGCACAATCTTTCCCAACAGCTCTCAAACAAAAAATTCCCAGGGAAACCTTGATTTGTGAATAGTCCCAGGACTGCCTGGACATGCCCCTGAGCTGCTGGTGCTGGATGGCCACGTCTCAGCCCTGCACACCTGGCACAGTCACCCAGATCATGGAACTCTACCTAGAATGGGTTGGGTTGGAAGAGACCTTAAAGATCATCCCATTCCAGACTTCCTGCCGTGGGCAGGGACACCTTCCACTAGCCCAGGTTGCTCCAAGCCCCGTCCAACCTGGCCTTGGACACTTCCAGGGCATGGATGCAAACATGCTTAGTGCCCAGTCCAAGTACTTGGTTTGCCTGCCTGCTGGGTCAGCTGACATCCCTTCCAGAGAAACATGAGCCAGCTGGCATTTCCATCATTTTCATCTTCAAATAATAGAATCAAAGGATGGTTTGGGTTGGAAGGGACCTTTAAAGGCCCACCTCATTCCAACCCTGACATGGGCAGAGACATCTTCCACTAGACCAGGCTGCTCCAAGCCCCTTCCATCCTGGCCTTCCTCAAGCACTAATTTTCCTGAGGCCCCTGATCACAGCTGCTCTGGATACCAGCTCAACAGAACCACCAGCTGCACGTCCTTCCAGCCCCATCCCCATTCCTGCACACAGACACATCACCAGCCTGTTGGGCTCACTGGGAAAATAGCTGGTATAACCTCCTGCCCCACCAGAACCTGCCCACAGCTCAGCCCCGGGCCCTGTCTGGCACCCCAGGTGAGAGGCAGCACTGGAAACCAGGCTGTGCTCTCAGGATTTGAATCTGCTCAGTGGTGACTCTGGATTGACGTGCCAGGGTTAGATGCCTGAAAGGTGGTCCATCTCCTGGTGTGATTCAGGAATGGGGGAGTGCAAACCTCCTCCTGAGCACGGCGCCCAGAAGAACCCAAGAGAGCAGATGGGCTGAGAACAGAAAGCAATTAGTCATGCTGAGTTGTTTAAGCACCAGGAAACTTCACCATTTGAAGGATTTACATATTCCCTTGGTTTCATTCACAATATCCATGCACCCAAACATTTTTAATACGTTATTTTTTAATTGCCCTCTCCCAGTCTTTTTAGATCCTACTGGATAGTAATTCCGTGGAAGACTCATGAAACGACTTCTGGCAATTACATGTGCAGAGGAAGAAATTACTGTGGCTGTTGTAACACCAAATGGGAACATTTGAGAACTGAGAATTCCCCTCAGGTTCTCAGAAAAAATCCCGGAATGCAAAATTGTCTCACGACTTCACGAGTTGTTAAAAACTTACATGACAATAAATTCAGTAAATGTCATTTTTCAAGAACCTGAGTGCTTGGGCTTTCAGGGAGCTCAAACAAACAAAAAAAAAAATCAAGATTATTTTTTAGAATACTGTTTACTCGTAAAATTAGGAGGAGTGTATTTGAGTGGTCTTGTGCCTTTGATCTGAACCATTTGGAGAGTGATGAGCGATGCAGAACTCCAATATTAATGCAAACCCACAGTTATTTAACCAAACACTTCCTCAAAAACGTTATCAGCCTTTCTAAGGTTATATGTAAGTGGCCTATAGTACCTGTTCAGCACAACATATCTTTATTGTACAAGCAAAATCCGTTTGCCTAAAAAGCAGCATCTACAATTGGGTAAAAAAGTCTTAATTTTTTTAATTAAATAGCTTGATAGCATTTGGTGGAATTGCCAATTACTTTAGAAGTCAGACGAATAGGGTACAAATAGAAGGTGCACAGTTATTTGAGACAGAACTCCTGGATCCTAACAATCCATTTCCAAGTATCTAAAAATCTGATATTGCTTTTTACTTATTTATGCTTTGATGAACTGCTAATTGACTTCATCTCTGAGGTCACATAAGGTCATAAGAAAATAAACTGAGTCAAGTGCTTCAGCCAGATCAGCTTACACAAAAAGGTGATGGGACTCTCCCTTGGAGTAACCAGATCTTCTTGCTGCTATGAGTACATCAAAAATTGCTCACTTAAAGTAATTAAAGTGACATGAGGAAAAGCCCACCTAGGATAGAGATTTGGAAAGAACTAGCTGGAGCACTGTTGTCTCAGCATTTCCACATGCAAAGAGCGGGGAAAAAAAATTAAAGAAAATAGAGTGGATATAAACAGTACTGTATATTGTGTTAATACAGCCCTTGTATGGAAGTTATACCCTCCAGTGACCTTCTAGAACTGTATCAGCTTGCTACATGCATGTCTTCAGAGTCCAAACATGTGTGAAAGAGACCATTCGTCTACAGAAGGATGGATTTCGTTTTGTTGTCGCTGGAACCGGGACAGCAGACATGTATATTTGCCACATTGCAAATAAAATTACTTCAACAGAAATCACATAAAGTACAAAAGCTTTGGTAAGTCCAGGGTAAAATTTACCATCAGGCTATATATAATAAATGATGAGATCTTCCACACATGCTTTTGGTGCCCAGGCACGAGCCAAAAGCAGTGCAAAAAAAGCTTTCATATGAAAAATTAATATAAATAAGGTGTGTTCATGATGATTACTTAAAAGAAAGCGAAAAAGAAAGAAAAGATGTTTCAGAAAAAGGGGCATCCTGCCAAACATATTAGAGATATAAACCATGGAATTGGAAAAAGGGAGTAAAAGAAAGATGGACCGTGATAAAATACAAAAGAACAAATACAAACAGATGGACAAAGACACAGGTCCACTGAGGAATCTGGTACGAGGTTTGCTACTAGATTTATAGGTCACTCTCTCAGACGTTTGGTGGAAAACCGTCCAGCCTGCAAATGAATATAAAGGGAAGAAAACAAAGACACTTATAAAGTACAAGTAGCTGTGATCAGATGTCCTAAACCATCAGTCAAATCAGCTTTGTTAGTTAAACCTCCACATCTCCCCCTTAACTTTGCCAAAGAGGAGCAAGTTCACTGACCATACACAAAGGATGCAATAACAGCAGAAGAGGACAGATAGATATTTTGCAGATTAGTTTGGCAGGATGTGCAATGAGAGGAAGGTATTTTAATCATCATTAGAACTTCCCATATGCATGGCAACAAGATCAGTCAAAGCCTACAACAGGGGCAATACACAGAGATCTGAGAGGACGGGGCTGGGGAGCACAGCCAATCTACAGTCCTGCAGCTGGGACTCCAAAATCATGCACAAAGTGAACCCCTTAGAGAAAGGAAACATAATTTGGTCCCCTGGGTTTGGTTTTCTTTTAATTTTGTTTTTATTTTCCCTTGCATCCAAGACAGTTTAGTAGTTTATAATGAGGAACTCAGGGTCTACCAGCATCAAGGGCCTAAAAAAATGAACCAAAGGAAACAGTCTTCTAGCCTTCTGTATCTTTTTTGTTTTCCTTTCATTTTCTTCTCAGGAATCTGTAAGGCAGACTCCAGAGAAGGTGCCAGTATAAAGCCACTGAAAGGTATTTCCTTCCTAAAAATCAGGAATGTCTTGGGCATGCCTTCTCGAGTGGTGGTAACACTCGGAAAGATACTTTAATTTTGCTCTTCTGACAATACTGCAATGATCTTTTTAAAGACAAGCTAGTAGTTTGGATTCTCAAAGGTTCACGTTCCTCTATCACTCCTAAAAAGTTCAAGCCTAAGGGAAGGGAACTAATTTTAGCACGTGCTGGAAGAGACACGAAACAGCCGGCAAGAAAAATCACCTTGGCCAGAGCTTGCGTTGGCGTCGGCTCCGTCGGGGCCCAGGCCGGAGCAGATGTCAGAGGACAGAGAGGCTTTGACAGAGCAGGGCTGCTGGGTCTGCACAGCCTTCCCGAAGGTGGGGGGTGTGGGGAGGGTCACCGCGGCTGCTTCAGGGGAGCCCGGCTGGGATTTACTTGTTTCTTTGTGGGGTGAGTCTTTAGAGTCTGAAAGATTACCTGAAAGAGCAAACAAACAGAACATATGCAACAGGAAACTCTAGGAAACCTCCAGACAAAAACCCCTGCCTAAAAATAATCTGTAGCTTGGCACCAAGAGGAACAGCAGTTCACCATCCTGGTGTACTGTACGGAGCACAGGCTTTGGGGACAGCCTGCCCCAGAAAATCACCTACACATCCCGTCGCTGAGCCCACTTCTCCACAGAGATCAGGGAGCAGGTGTGGGTTTTACAGTTTCTCTTCTGTGTTTCCAGGAGCCTCCCAAGGAGCACAGCTGGAATCAAGTGAGAGCTGCTGGGGTGCTGAGGAGGAGGAGGAGCGCAGGGAATGATGCAGTGGGACACAGAGGTTTGCTTTGGTGTTGCTTCTGACACCAAAGGTGAAATTAAGCAAATGGAGAGAAATAAAAAGTTGCTGCAGACATGTGGAAATTTTTATTTATAGCTCTCTGAGTACAACTGTCACTGCCACTGTTAGATGCTTCTGCTGATAAATCTACATAACACATTTATGGCATTTGTATTCTGGCATTTTTCTATGTTTTATATATTATATATTCTCTCTATATATATTTCATATGTTTTGTATATTTATATATTCTATATTTTATCCAAGGTATCTATGTGTAGATTCATATCTCTATGTAAATACTTGCATCTATACATCTATGTATTTATAATTTCACATATATCTATACATAAATATCTGTATCTATGCATCTATCTACATATTCATAGATAAATACATATCTATAGATATCTAGATAATGTTTGCATGTATACTTCTGTATCTATACTTCCATCTACAAAGATATCTTTTTAAAACCAAAATACTCTTGTAATCGTTGTTACATGGATTTATCAGCAAAAGCATCTAACAGTGGAAATTACAATAACATCAGTAATGTTATTAGAAATTGCCTGTCCTTGATCCATGAGGAAGGATTGAGGAAGGTCAAAAGAATGAGGAATCTACACTGTCCAGGGTGAGAAGACTTAGGCAGGAACACAGATTCTCAAAGGTGATGTGAACTTTAGACAGTGTCTCAAAACCTGGAAAATAACATGAAAGGAATGAACGAAGGAGAGCAAGCACCAGTGATCTGATTGAGCAGATTTCTGGGCTCTAACTCAAGGTGACAAGGATTAAAAAAAAAGAAAATTGGGACATTTAATGCAGAAATAAGCTTAAATTCTTTGGACTAGGGTAGCACACGGATATAAGCCAAGATCCAGAAGTGGAGAGAGATGTAGGTTTTTCAGACAGAGAGAGGGAAAACAGCTAGAGATAACCAAAGGACCAACTAGAAAATGAATGGCCCAAGGATAAAATTGCCATTCTGAGTATGTGACCACAGGGGAAGGAAGTGAAACCCATGGACATCAGGCAAACTGCAGCTCAAGGGCTAGAAAGCACTGAACACTGCTTCAGTCCCTGCGGGAAAGAACACTCAGACTCAAGATGGACCACAGAACTTACTGCCTCTGAATGCTATTTTTCCCTTCTCAGTTGAAATCCTTCCCTAAAAGCAAAAACCTCCTAAACACTCTATCTATAAAGATTTATGCAATGAAATTCGAAGGGGACTTTCAGTGACACTGAAAACAAAAGCCACCAGGTTTGAAACACCTGGAAATGCTCTGCTCCCCTAAAAACCAGTGTGAACTAAGCTGAAGAAAAATTATTCATACTTTAGTATGAATACATTTCACTGAAGAAATAGGTACTGGGGTATATTGACATTTCCCACCTAAATTATATTTTTATACTTTTCCAAGAGATAACAACTCAAGACTGTACTACTGTGTGAAAAATCTCACGCTACTTCAGATGGTCAAAACCTCATAGTTTTATAACTGCTTTTAACTCCCATCCTTTGGGGGAGCAAATGCAATCCCATCTCTTTTATATGGCATCTGGGAGGAAAAAGTAAACAAGAACAAGATACAGCACCTAATCAGTAGAGGATAACAGCACCTAAGAAGTGACTACAAACATCAATAAATAGCATTTGGACAAAGGAAGAGATGCAATCAGGCTGTTTTCCAAATTAAAGTGGAATATTGTTCTTCTGCCAAGTGCTGTAACTAATGCAGAGCAGGCAGGGATGGCTCAGCACTGGGAGCTGGGATAAATCTGTCCAAACCCAACAAAAATTCCATCCTTTCCTGCAGGCCATCACACAGCAGAGCCACAGCTGACACGAGCAACAGGCGTAGGGAAGCATCCCAGTGCACCTACTTGTGCTTGATGTTCCACTCCTGAGCTGCTGGACCAGAGGGTTTAAGAGTTTTCCAGCTTTCAATTTGTTTTTGCTGGTTCTTCGGCGCCGGCCGCTCGGCGGGGCAGAGTGAAGGAAGCCCAAGTTGGGAGGAAGGGGTTTCCCCAGCCGGATATAGAGTGCCTCTATCTCATTCTTCTGCTGGGTCTGGAGTTCAGCAATTTCCTTCATATGCCTACAAAAAAATAAAGAACTCTGCAAGCGATGTATTTGACAAAGCACCGTGTCTTGACAGTGTAATTGACTGTAAAACATGAAACAAAACAGTCCTTGGTTATAAGACAACCAACTGCAAGTATGTGAAGTTGTAACTGTCTACCTGTGATGACTCCCCAGCCCTGCAAATGTCCAAGGCCAGGCTGGACAGGGCTTGGAGCAACCTGGCTAGTGGAAGGTGTCCCTGCCCGTGGCAGGGAAGTGGAACAAGAGAAGCTTTAAGGTACCTTCCAACACAAATCATTCCATGATTCTATGACTGATGTCTCAAATATCCATTTATAAGACCAAATCCTAGACAACTAAAAAGACTTCCAGTATCCTCAGCCAAACCATCTGATTTTGACATTAGATCTGGCTGGAAGTTAAATAGCTCCAGAATTTCTCTCTTCAAACCAGTGACTTCAAAAAAGTGAACTCTCAGGGCAAGTACACCAGTGTGAAGAGTTCAAGATGAATTAAAACACAAGCATTTCCCATAAAAATGCCATTAGCACATGAATCACTACCTTATTTATACTGCAGATTTCATGATGCCATAATGTCAGTTTAAAGATTTGGAATAACTGTAGCTCTGCTTTAGAAAGATGCATCATCTGTATTCAGCAGAACCATTATACCCTAAGATAAAAATTAGTATTTTGGTAAAACTACCACCTAATGCTAGTTTTTACCCATCATCTGCCAGGAAAGGAAGAAAATGTTCAAATTTAAAGCAGTCAGCTTTCCGGGCTGGCAGCATGACAGTCTCCCCGGCAGAAGGAGCAGCAGCAAAAATGGTTTGGGGTTTAAAAAAGTTATTACTAAATCATTCAGTTATTATTGAGCTATTGTTGAATTACTAACTTATTACTGAAGGCCAGGTTGGACAGGGCTTGGAGTAACCTGGGTACTGGAAAGTGTTCCTCCCCATGGCAGGGGTTGGAACAAGATGATCTTTAAGGTCTTTTCCAACCTAAGTCATTCTGTGATTCTGTGATTCTATGAATTGTTCTTCTATATGGAACTGGTAAATAAGGTGATGCATAGAAGGACGCACTGTGACATTTAGGGGAAGGTCTCAGTGATGCCTAATTTCACAGAATCAAAGGATATGTTGAGTTGGAAGGAACCCACAAGGATCACTGAGTCCAACCCCTGGCTCTGCACAGGCCCATCCCCAAGAGTCACCCCCTGTGCCCCAGAGGATCAGCCAAACCCTCCTGGAGCTCTGGCAGCCTTGGGGCTGTGCCTACTGCCCTGGGGAGCCTGGTCAGTGCCCAACCAGCCTCTGGGGGAAGAACCTTTTCTCTATATCCAATCTAAGCTTCCCCTGAGAAAACTTCCCCCCAGAACTAGTTTACTATTACAGCTCTGCTCATCCTGAGCTGAGCTGCTGCCAAGCTGTGGTAACACAAGCTTCCCTCGCATTTATTGCGACCCAACATACTTTTCTCTCAGGTTCTGCAATTCTTTCTTCATATCGGCATCTTCAAACTCTGAGTCATTATCGCTGCTCATGTAGGACGACTGTGAGTGGAAGGACGTTATGTTGATGGTGGGAATCTTCGCCCCTTGCCCGTTGGGCGATTCCAGGCCCGGGGAGCCGCCTTTGCCAGACCTCTGCAGGAAAGCAGCAGCCTTTTTGATCAAGTCCGTGGCTGCACTGCTGCTGGGGGGGGAGAGCTGGGCAGCAGCAGCGGGCTGCCGAGGGAAGGGCTCCTCGGCGGAGTCGCTGGACGCCTGGTCGCAGAGCACGTCGACGGACGAGGCCGTCTGCACGCGCCGCACGGCCGCCTTCACGTCCGGGCTGGAGGGCAGCTCGTCCAGGTACACGTCCGGGGGCGCCGAGAACCTCAGGCAGTGCGGGGACGCCAAAGTCAACTCATCCTGTGTGCTGACAACCGAAAACCTGCCGATGGTTTTGGCTGGGGTGCCGCTCTCCTGAGCCTCAGCCTGTTTGCCATAGGAACCAGAGTCTAGGGAGCCATCCCTGTGAAGGTTACTCATCACCCCATCTGCTGTCGATCGCCGCGTTACGCTCTCCCTGCGCGCAGGCGAAGCCATCCTCTCTGCCTCCTCGCTCCTCTGGGAAGCTTCCAGCTGGGGAGTTATGCTTGATGATGTAGGTGCAACCTGCAGGAAATAAGAGAGATTAATTTTGAAAGCAACTGTAACAATCAAGCACAATCAAAACTGCTCCTTGTTCTGGTTACCTGAAGGAGACCTTCTGCTGGAGCAGCAGGAGCTGAAGCGATGCTTGCAGCTGGACCTGTTTTAAAGATGAAAAAAAATTCACGTCTCAAATCTTTAGTATAATAAAAGCCAATGTTTTTAATGTGATAAACTGAAATGTAGCACTGAAGAATAATTTACACACTCAATCTTTGTAATTGCAGGAGGCAATAGCAATGGCAATATAAAATATCTGCAGGTAGGCAGACCTATTGATTTGGGGAATTCAGATAATAATAGAAGTGTGGAATTTCATTGGTCAGTTGAAAATTTTTAAGGAGAAAACCAGAAGAAGGATGAAACCTGCATGGTACATTGGGCCTGACTCCTACAGTGTTCTTGGTGCCTCAGAGACACACAGTGACCACGGACAGGCCAATGTCTCACACCTTTACTGTGACATCAACACCTCAAACCTGAAATGAAAGTCAATGCACCCTGCCAAAAGTGGAAATTATAAGCCCAAAAGGTAGCCACTTGGACAACAATCACACCAGAAGCACAATATTAGTGGTAGGACTAATCAGTCAGTATTTCACCCCCCAGACACTGGTTTTAAAGTCAGACCAATGCACACAAGCTTTTGAGAATGCTGCATTTGTATGGCACACACTGCACAGAGCGAGGGCACAGCCAAATCTGTCACTTCAGAGCTCTGAAATGGTGACATATAGCAAGGCTGGATGGTTTCTAAGATACACTGATTTTACTACACAGCACCTGCAAACTCTTTCTGTTGCCTGTAGGGAAACAAATGGATGCCAGCTACCCAAAACCCTCTCACTCTGCCCTAAAAGCTTGGGACAATCAACATCCACCAGGACCAGAATGGTCTAGCTTGTCACACAGAACTGGCAGCTAGATCTGCCACGATCTCAAAAAACATATATATTATCAGCCCTCCCCAACCTCACCCATGACAGCAGGAGCAGTGTGGCATTCCTCAGTCTTTAAAACTTCCCATGAGTTTCAACAAAGCTAAATGGAGGTGAATTAATTGGTAAACTCGGGCAAATAGGTGAATGGAGGTAAATAAATAGGTAGACAGGTAAATAAATACCCATGTTCTTTCTGTGGCTCCTACTATGATCCTGTAGGAAGTGCTATTGTAGCTACAAGCACCTGAGGAGAAGTGATCCATGGGACTCCCTTGAGAATCCCCCATAATAAACATAATAAACTCCTACTGAATTCAGTTGTTTAAAATCTCCTGTTCTCATACAATATTCTTTCCAGAATTGGAACCTCCCTTTTTCATAAGTTACCAAGACTCCAGAATGAAATGTTTTGAACAGTGACAATATCTGCAGTGCCACCTTTGTTACAGTTCCCCAAAGACTGCAAGGGTGCAGGGAGATAAACTCTCATTCTGTTTTCTTCTGGAATCTCTGATGGAGAGGATCTGACTCCTGTAAAACTTCACCCCTGAGGTCTGTGAGAAGACAGGGACACAAGCCTCATGTGAAGCCAGCAGTGGCTCAGAGGGCAGAACCTGAGAGCACACACTCCCCCAGAGGGGCGACCCTTAATCATGCCACTTTTGTCAACACAATTTTCTGAAACCCAGGAATTCCGAGGGACTCTTTAAGGGCACTGGAATTGACCTTTGGGAATGCAGCCTTCCGTGTGAATACCCCACATCTACCCCAGAGACAGGAATTGTGCTGATGGGTTAAAAGAAATCCGAGTTTTCAGGAAGGTCAACAGAAATGAGATGTTTAATATGGGCTATATCAAAACCAGGATCCTAAACAGCAGTGCTGGGCAGTGCTCTGGAGTCAGGAAAAGGTGAGCAGGGAGGGGACCTGGAGCAGGGACTGTGCACAGGCAGAGCTGCCTCAGTGAAGGAGCATTACCTGTTCCGCTTGCTGACCCACCTCTTGCTTCCAGGGGATGTGCACTGACGCTGGTGACCTCCGACTGGTCAAAATTCCAGTAAAAGGAAAAAAGAAACACAGTTTCAGTTTCACTCACAAAGCAGAATGGCACTGCATTCTCCTTCCCTCACTCCCCCTCGCTGCCCTCGCACTGTTGGGGAATATTAAACTATTTCACAGTGCCTGTGGAGGTGGCCTTCGAGCTTTGCCTCCAACTCCTCCATTTTTTTCCTTCCTTGGAAGAAATAAAGCAGTGGCAGTGTCACACTGGGAACTGCAGCATAAGTTACTAAAACCCAGTATATTACATATATACATGCTTGGGGTGTTGTTCTGGTTTGATTTTCCAGCCAGACTGCATATTCTTCATCTGTATGTGTGCCTTCAGAAGTTCTATGTCTCTTTCCTTATTGGCACTGATTTTAACAGGACAAATTCCAGTTACTGGAGAGACCTAACGCCTTGTACGGAGAGAGAATTTTATCTGCTGCAGAAAGTCATTTATCATTAGAAAACAACACACTCTGAACAGTCACTCGAGTGCAGCCACTTTCATGTACCGTACAGTTCTCTCGAACAGCTGACACAGTCCATCTGGAACAGCCTCAGCCTTGCTAGTGGGGATGGAGTTATCTCCTGAAACGCTACTTTTAAAATAAGATAGAGAATCCCAGAATGGTTTGGGTTGGAAGAGACCTTAAAGGTCACCTCATTCTATCCCCCTGCCATGGGCAGGGACACCTTCCACTACACCAGGCTGCTCCAAGCTCTGTCCAACCTGACCTTGGGCACTTCTAGGGATAGGGCAGCCACAGTTTCTCTGGGCAACCTGTGCCAGGGCCTGGAATAGACACTGATCTTCTAGCACAAAGTTCTGCAAATCTGCTGATTTAATAAATTGGAGATTTTATCTGAAAGAATGTGACATGGGAGCTCAACCAAGACACTGAGTACCCACTGCCCCAGACCACCTGCTCCCACCTGCCTTAGAGGTTCTCGGGGCACTCTTGCTCTGACAAGCTTAGGAGGAGACAAAAGAAACCATTACAGGACATCTATGGAATATCTGCCTTTGGCTGCAGCATGTGGACAAGGCAAAGGCTCCTGAAGTGTTTGCTTTATCCAGACTGACTTGGAAGGCAGGAATCGTAACCACTGCCATCAATCTATATTTTTAAAAATTCCTATTAAAGCACAATTGTCTTCATCAGAACTAGAGCAACTATACCACTTGTGTTTTGCACTCTTAAACTACAAAGAAATGAATGCATTTCTGCCTGCTTTGGACACAGGACACAAGAGGAGATGAATTAAGGTATTACACCACTTTTAAATCCAAAAGAAAAGTCTGGCATTCACTAACAAGCATTTCTGTAAAATTAGTTAGGATGCATCCAACAGGAAAAATTCAAGAGAGCTTTCACACTGGAAAGCCAGTCAGCAGGCAAAGGTAACATACTCTGGAGCAGAGATATGAAAATGTTTAGGGAAGCAAGAGATATACACACGTCCTACTGTAGGCATGTGGGTGCTGAGCTCCGCCCCAGTGCTGGCCCTACAGGCTGGGTTTGGGGGCACAAAGGGCAGAACCACTGTGGGACTGACCGGTGGTGGGCAGGGCAAGAGCTCCGATGGCACAAGGGGCTTGGCAGCAGCTTTCACATCCTGGCTGGTGTCTGGGACATTATAGCCTGGTTCCCTGCCATCCGACACCAATGCAGGACCTTGTTCTTCAGGAAAAGGTGGCAAGGTAAATTCACTGTCACCCTGTTCGGGTGGCACAGAAGTGTCCGGCGTCCCAGCTGACGCAGAGGAAGTCGGAACATATTCCTGGTACAGCAAATTGCGCAGCTTCTCATCGAGGCTTTTAATCGTGTTGTCCACGAAGTCCACCCGAGGGGGTCCCTCCCCATCGGACTCGGTGGTGCCAGGGGGGTTCTGCTGCTGCAGGAGCCGCGACCCCCCGGCCGGGGCGGACACGGTTGTCCTGTCTCTGCTTGGTTCTACCTGCGGCCAGCGGCTGGCTGCAAGCCAGCGGGCGAGCGCGTGCGTGGCGCGTGCAGGCTGGGACCCCGCCATGCCGCGCAGCCCCTCGGGATGTGGGGCGCGGGGAAGGTGGCTTGCGATAGGGTGAGCGTCGCCGAGCGGGCTGGCGTGTTGTGCGTTCTCGGTCGGCAGCGCCGTCCCGGGTGTGGATACCTGTGCCACGCGGCAGTTGGGGGGGTACCTGTGCCACCGTGCTGCCCTCCCAGGAACCACGGTTGTCCGGGTAGCAGCGGGAGCGGGCCGGAGGCGGCTTAGGCACGGGCCTTGTGCGGCCCACGCTGCCCAGCAGGCGATCTCCACGTCGGGCACACACGCAGCCTCCTCTGCCGGCTGCAGCTGCCGCGCTGTGGGGGGCGGCTCGGGGGGCTCCTCCAGCCCCCCCGGGTGAGGGGGCACCGCTGCCACGGCTGGGGGGTACTCCGGCTGGGCCCCGCCAGCTGCCGCCTGCTCCGGGATGTTGGGGGCAGATCCCAGCAGTGCTGAGGCTGGTAACTCTGCCTGGCTCGGGACGCTGGTGGAAGCTGCTGCAGTGGGAGCTGGTGCCAAGGATGGAGCAGCTCCGAGGGGGCTGTCACAGACTCCTCCGGGCAGAGGAAGCTGCTGCCCAGCCCCGACCTCGGGCACCTCTGTCACTGCGGAGCTCACGGGCTGCTCATCCTGCTCCGGGTCTAGAGAGAACACAAACGAAAGGTGAATGTTTTAAGGAAAGAAAATCACTGCCACACCCCCCAGTCAGCTGCAGGGACAACCCCTTAGAGCTTCCCACCAGGAAATAGCTGTTATACATATCAAGTTAGAATTTGCAGATTATGCAAAAAATATTCCACTGAAAAGGCACTGCAGTGACCAAGGTTTCATCTACCTAATAGCATAAGGCAGAGCTAAAATACTGACACTTCTCTGAAGCTCAAATAGATTCCCAATTTGGCTCAATACCAGGATCACTCTGTAAATGCCCAACTTAAAATTCATCATTTTCTTCCTCCAACTAAATGAAGTGAAACCATCACAGCTAAGTCAGGTGAGGATAGAAGAGCGACAACACAGCAGCTCCAGAGCAGATATTTCTATGAAGTTTGGACATACCTGGCCCTTCTGCCTGCTGGGCACTGGGAGGTACTGGAGGGGAAAATTCGGGGGCATCCGTAGTTGGATTTTCCACCACAGGACATATAATAAACCACCTTTTTCCAGTATGCAAAACTAGGGATGAAAAGAAAATAACAAGTAAATAACACAAGGGTTTCCATTGTCTCCAGATCGTGTCCAAAACTGAATTTCCACGTTCAGAAAGAAAATCAGAACTTCTACAATTACAGCCAAGAGTAGACCAATGGCTTCGAATTTGATCCTCATCCCTTCTGGAAGGTAGACAGTGGTGCCTCCCAGTTCTGCCAAATATTTGAAGTTATTTGAAAATTTGTTTTCAGGCATTCACACTTTTAGAAGAGTGATAGTTACGTACATGAACATTTCATTAGTGGAACAGTGGATAGTTTTCTCACAGTGATAAATTTGTTAATTTTGTCAAGTTTATGCAGCTGAATTTTTCCATGTTGGAAGTTTTGTAGCTAATATTTCCTTCTACATCTTCTCTCAAAGCCGGTCACGTCTTATATGTAAATGGCAAACTTTCAGCAGAGAATCACAGACTCACAGAATGTGCTGAGTTGGAATGGACCCATCAGGATCAGAGTCTGACTCCTGGCCCTGCAGAGGGGCCCAAAAATCCCACTGTGTGCCTGAAAGCATTGTCCAAATGCTTCTTGAACTCAGACAGGCTTGATAGCCAGGTCCCTTTCATTTATCCCAACACCATGCACTTACAGACAGAACCATGGGCCAATTCCCTCCCCATCCCGTTTGTCTGTACGACCCCCGTGTTTAGAGGTCAAGATACTCCAGGAATGCCAACACAGTTTCCCCCTGGAATGCCAGAGTAGCTGGAAACTGAGGGGTTAGACACTTCAATTAAATTACCAATGCAAATGTAATCTTTCAGCTTCCTCTAGTAAATATTTTTATTGTTGTGTTCAGAGGATGCTTCCCTGCACCTTCTTGACTTTCCCACCAATTATCAGCTTGTGTCATTCAGGGCTTCCCTAAACATCCCCAAATGTCCCATCCATCCCAGTAAGCCCTGCAATATTCCAGTTTGCTAACAGCAGGGATCACTATTACACCCTTACTTCTAGATATATTCCAACCATCAGTGGTTGCAAACCTCTGCATGAACTCTTCACTGCCTCAAAGCTTGAGATTAAGTTCTATTCATAGAATCACAGAATCACAGAATGGTTTGGCTTGGAAGGGATCAAGACCACCTTGTTCCAACCCCATGCCATGGGCAGGCATACCTTCCACTAAAAATTTACAGGCACACTTACCATTTTGCTGATACACAGGTGTCTTCACTTGAGACTGACGCTTCTCCTGTTAAAGAAACAACAGAAGAATGAGCTCTACCAGTGCAAAAGGAGCATCATCCCAAGGAGCACTCATATTGTAAGGCTTAACAAAGTAAAAGCATTATTTTTCTAGCTAAGAAACTTCTTACTTTTTTTGAACACAGGATGCAAAACTAATTTACAGCATCTGGCTGTAAAGAGAAACGAATCAAACCAGAAAACTTTATTTAGCATTTCTTACCTCACTCATTTCCAGCCTATCAGCATCTTGCTGGGGACTCGTTCCCTGGTCAGAACTTCGCTCTCCTTCTGTATCCTCACTGAGCATATCTTCTGCTTTATCAATGATATCTTTCATTTGCTCAATGAAAGTCTCTTTTTCACTCTGCAAGATGAACTCGTTCTCTACCTGGAGGGCCACATCAAAATAAAGAGGAAAACAGTATTTTTTTGATTAATGGCTCATTCCACAGCTGTCAGACAGCTTGGGCAACAAGCACACGTGAGAAGAAGCTGCCTGAAGCAACCCGGTGCCCTGAGAGCCCGTGGGGAGCCACATCTCACCATGTAAGTAGCAATTTCCTCTGGCGCATCACCATCCAAATCAAACTTGAACGTCACCATTTTGTGGTTGTGGGTTTCAAGCTGGCACTCCACCATCTTATCCCCCGTGTTACACACCTGCACGCAGAGATTAACAACCTTTACTCCTGGCAAAGCCAAAGGGATCCCAAAGTTACCCTCCAGCAGGTTGTACTTGCATTTAATATGGTCAGTTTGGGTCTGTTGGACTTCTCCTGGCGCGAACGAGCGCGCGTGGACTTCTTATGCTTCTTCGAAGACTTTCCTTCTTGCTTTCCACTTCCCATTGCTCCTTCAAAGCTGTCACTCATCTCTTTACCCGAAGCAACATCTGGACTCATGTAGCTTCATAAGGGAAAGGAAGAACAACCCCAAAATAAACCCAGAGTCACACACAAGGGAGTCACACATGGGTAAGCTACACAACAACAGAGGTGGCAAAAAAAGGGCACATTTCCACCTGTTTTGGCCAAACTGAGTCAGCTGGAAGATACTCAGTGAGTGAAGGGCACTATTTCTCATCAGGTACATTCTCTGGCTACCATACCTACCAAGAAATGATCTATTAATGTTTCTGACAACACCATAGGGAAAATCTCATCACTCTGAATATATGCCCACATCACCTTATGCCTTCACTTCAGGGATCCTGACAGTCCCTCTCTGAACTGCGCCAGTTCCTACTTTTTCAAGGTGCAGTTTTTCTCAGCTCCTGCCCACCTGCACTCCCAGCAGAGGGGCAAACAGGGCCAGCTTAGGTTTGCTGGAGAGGGAGGAAAGAATGAGGTCAGTACAGCATCCCATAGCAGACTGCCTCTCCTCTCTCTGCAGCTCTCAAGGATCAGAAAGGTTTTGTGCCCCAATATCCCAGGTGACCACCTAGCAACAGTATAATATTTTTAGCAGCCAAGCCAGTAGCTGCTCCAACCTTACTGTAACATGGCCTACATAAAACATGCAATGAATTTGCAGGAAATTTCCTCAGGTTCATAAAAAACAAGTGAGGAATGAAAGCTGTGAGGCCATCTGGCCCATTTATTACCCCAAGGGCTGATCAGCTCTGGCTAAACCAGTCCTCACAGAGGTGTGTGTAAACTGATCTTATAAAGCTCCTGTGAGATTCCACAGCTCTCCTGGACAATTTACTCCTGTGTTCATTTTGCCACACAGGGAGAAAAGGATTGAAGTCTAACCTATGGATCCACTTCCTTTCCTAAACTCAAGGCTTTCCTTCTCATTCTGCACTAGCTGCACAGAACAACTTATTTCTCCTCCATTTGCAGCCACCTTGTCTGTGTAACTCCTGTGTTAGGAAAATGAACACATTTATTGCACAGGATATACTCCAGATCACACCTCTGGAGCAATTCCCAGCCACGTGATGCATATGCCATTACTGTCCACTCTACAAAAGCACAACCCAGCTCCCAGCTGTCCTTTATTTCACCTGGGAGAGTGAGCCCTCCCTCTGTGAGTACGAGGCGTGTGCTGGTGCTGTGTTTAACAGCCACCTTTAAACACAGCTCTGCAACAGGCGAGTTAGGACTCAAAAAGTGACTGAAAATTTGGTGTACCTTCCTACAAAGGGCACTCATTTTGTTCTATCATATCTCAGTTACTTACAGCCAGAACAAATCTATAGTCACAGAAGACTGGATCTCCCTTTCCACACAGTATTTAACAGCAGCAAATTCTTGGGAAAAAAGTTCCACTTTATGGTTGTGGGGTTGCACTGACTTGTGTCAGGTGAACTCTTGTGATGGGGTAGAATAAGGTCAGAAACAGGTGTCTTTAATGTTCATTCACTGAACTCATTTTGTCTATTCAGGAAAATAGAAAAGGGTCATGAAAATCCTAATCCCAAGGTTTAGCAATCAGTAAGGACAGAGTTGGTGCTGGCTCCTGCAGTGGGCAAGGCATCCAGCTCAACACACAACTCCCACCAATGCACTGCTCCCTCTAAGAGACCTGCGGAAGGATCTTTACAGGAGGTGATTTGGGAATACCCAGTTTATTCCCAAAGAGGGAACAAACTATATACCTAGCTATACTGGTTGTGGCATGTTTTCCCACAGTGTCAAAGCCAGGGGCTGTACCTCTTCAGTTATCCTAACAAAAAGACAGGTTCCATACTGCTGTACATACACCAAGCGAGGATGCTGCACCCAAACTAAGGAATTGAAAGAGCTGGAGGTGCCAGAATGGGCACACAGAACACTGCCAGCTTCTCCCTAGATGTGTCCCCATCCATCTCCTCCCAGTCAGGTCAGGACAAACAGCCTCCAGAAAGCAAACACTTCTTACGCCAAAGAGGTAATAACAATACCTTTCACAGCTCTGGGACAGAGTTTGCAGTTTGTCCTGTATTGCCTGCTCCTAAAATGCAAGAAAAAGTCATTTAAGCAAATGTGTATTGGCAGAGGAAACACACCTTTAAGAAAGGTTTTGCTGTTGATATCAGTAACCCTAAAACCATTCTGTTTAACCAGTTTTGGAACTTGCAAATAAAACAAATGTCCCACTTTACCCTCCCAACATCACTTCTGCCCAAGGCCTCAACCACTTTTTCAGACAGAGCCACCAACCCACCAGCTCCCTTCTGCTGCCTCTACAGCAGATGAGATGGTGAAAGGAACACAACAGTTCTCACCACCATGGCAAAACCTGATTGAGGGACAAATTCAGATCAGCACCCATTGTCTTTTATTTTTGAATGTATCTGCTAATTTGCTTAATTGCTTTATATAGCTTCCTGAAATATGCTCAGTATTTTCATTGTGTTTGGCTTAGTGGGAAAATTTCTGAGGAACTTACAATTGAAACATGGATATTCATCATTTAATAACACCACCTTCGCATTACATCCTCTTGTTCTCTACACAAATTTCCCCTAAAAGCCTCACTCTTCACTGGTTGCAGCTCTGGGACAGACATCACAGCACGGCGTTTGCACCAGGTAAACCCATTTCCACATAATTTGTGACGGTGCTACAGGCCCTGCTGTAACAAACTTACACAGTTTGTACACAGACACACACACTCGTGCATGTATATAATTGTGCATATACACACACCCCAAATATAGTCATAAATATATATAATTTTATATATATTTATACATATTTACAAACATGTGTCTATAAAATCCTTCTACAGATGCACAGCTAGAAACAAGCCCCTGGACTGCAACTGCTACACTTAACACTGAAGCAGTGGTGGGCTGGGGTTAAAAGCTCAGCAGTGAACCAGTCAGCCCCACTGGTTCTGTGGCAGTGAACCAGTGAGTCCCACTCCTTGTCTCCAACACCACACACAGGCCATGCCAAGCTTGACTGCAGTTTCGATAAAACCGCAAAATTAATGAACAATGAGAACACAGATATAATGTATCTACATTTTGGTGATGCACTTGACCAAGTGCCTTACAAAAATCTCATTTGCCTGAGGGGTTCAGGTCGGTTGGGATGCGAGGGCTGCCACGTCTGGACACAACGGGAGAGATAAAAACATTATGGCAGAGTAGCAACAAAATGCAGGGTCTGGATTATATAGACAAGTATGATGAAACTTCTCTTGCACCCAAGAAGACTTTACCAATGTATGTCCGAAAACCAGCACGGAGAGCACATGGATTGATACTGGCTTGATTTCTTAAACTGAAGAAGAGAAGGGGGTAACTTACAGATGGACACGAGACTGAGTTTAGCAAACCAGCGGTTAAATGTCCTGAGGGATATGGGACGTGAAGGACAGACATGTGCCTTGATGGCCGGGGTTTCTAAGGTAGTACAGGATGACTTGCATCCCCCATATCACACTGCACAACAAGGAGGTTTGTTCGTGTTTCCACAATGTCTAATGGGATTGACCCTGCACTGAAGGCACCAGCACTGACCCTGTCATGAGCTGTGCATTCAGAAAAAAGGCAGCTGGAGAAGGAATACCTTAAGTGATGGACATGCTTGACCCAGCCAGGCTTTTCTGGGGAGCCTGCAAGTGAAGTACTACAGACAGGGTCTACCATTCCTGCTCCATCTAAGATATAGAATGCAGACATTCACGAGGAAACGTCCTACATTACAGCAGGAATGTTGATTTGATAAGAATTAATCTGCCACTGATGGACAGGAAAAACGGGGAACTGGAATCCAGCTTTAGTGTCGGCATAACCCTTCCTGAGCATCTTCTGGAGGCAGTGTTGAGTTGTGCCTCCAATGGAATTCCAGGCTGCACTGTGGAGTCAAGGCATCTGAAAAGCCATGGAAGAACAGGCAGAACCAAAAGATTCAGTTTGAAAAGATGAAACACATACTTTGGGAGGAAAGGTAGCTCAGAACAGAGCCTCAAGAGGAACAACTCTGAATGCAGAATCACAGGGGGACATTTCCATCCACAAGTGGAGAACAAATCAGACTTATTTCCTGAAATTAGGTAGAAATGTCAAGGCTTTTGTTTTGCTTTGCTAACAGGGAGGTGAAGAGAAGGAAATGTTCTGTGATGTTCTGTCAAGACTGAAGATTAAGTAATTATGGGAGTGGAAAGAAAAGTCAAAATAGCAGACAGGAGAAGCTGACAGTTCTCCAAAGGAAATCACTAACATGTGTCCTGCTTATACGACCACTGAGAATTAGGAATGCCTATGAATATCTGAAGAAACAAAAATCCCAGGGCTAGAGAAGACTTCAGGCAATACAGGAGGATAAAATGCTTAATGCAATGGGAATAGTGCTCAAGCTGAGGAACATGAAGGGATTTAGCATAACGAAGGCTTAGATAATGGAGCAGTTTCTTAAGGCAAATGATGGTTGGTCACACAAGTGCTTGAGACATTTAAAACAGGACTGGACAAAACACAGGTGAAACTCTACAGAACAAATTCTCACTGACTCACAGTGAGAATTTCTTAATCTCTTAAATGTCTATCTCCGTGCTCGTGCTCAGCTACGGACAAGTGCTGCTGCCTCGAGGAGACATTTCCCAAGGTACAACATGAGGTTTCCAGCTTCACTTGGAATTGCCAATTATTTGCTGACCCAGAGTTGCCGGCATCCAGGACAAGCGGCTCAACAGAGTGAGGGGATAACCTCCCTTGTGCAATAAGCTCACTATCTCACGAAGGAGGAAGCAGGAAGTTAAGGCTGAGGCCTGTGGGTTACTTCAGAGGAAGGGCTCTACCTCTTGAGATGTCTCTGCGCCTGCCGGGACAGCCGAGCAGGGGGCTGGGAGCTGCTGGCCCAGTGGCTGGGAAAGATCAGGCTGGAGCTGCAGCAGAGCAGAGGGCTGGACAGGCAGGCTGGGGTCTATAGGTACGGGCGGGCTGGCTGTGGCCAGGCTGCCATGGACCTGGGGAGCGCCTTCGGGAGCGACGCAGGGCGGCACCAGTTCAGGCTGCAGCTGCAACGGCGGTGACATGACTATCGAAGGTTGCACCGGCAGCACGGGCACCTGGGCTCCAGCTTCCAAAGCAAACTGAGTGTGTCCAGGCATGGGCTGCAACACAATGAGAGCTGTTAGCACACACCTCTGCTCAGAGGGCTCGGGACTTACGTGACAAGGCATCAAAGTCACCCGTACCCATGGAGAAAGGACCCCAGCTCTGCAGTGAGACCGGGTTTGGGTGAGCTCAGTAACTACTAAAGAGACTAAACTTCCTTTGGAATGACTAAATAAAAAAACTAAAGATTCTCTCTATATGATTATGACACTGTGTGCATTGCTCAGGCACCAGTTAATTTGTAGGGACAAAGCCATATTTTGCTAAGTAATGAAAAATCACAGAATTCCAGAATGGAATTCCAAACCCTGTCCAACCTGGCCTTGGACACTTCCAGGGATAGGGAAGCCACAGCTTCTCTGGGCAATCTGTGCCAGGGCCTCAACCACACTCACAGGGAAGGGAAGGATTCCTTCCCAATATCCAATCTACCCTGCCCTCTGGCAGTTTGAAGCCATTCTCCCTTGTCCTGTCCCTCCAGGTCCTTGTCCCAAGTTCCTCTCCAGCTCTCTTGGAGCCCCTTTAGACACTGGAAGAGGTTCTAAGGTCTCCCTGGAGCCTTCTCTTCTCCAGGTTGAACACCCCCAGCTCTCCCAGGCTGGCTCCAGAGCAGAGGGGGCTCCACCTTTCAAAGCATCTCCGTGGCCTCCTCTGGACTCACTTCAAAATCTCTGGTGATGAATTCATTCTCCTGAATACTTCGCTCTGCTTTCAGTAGCCTACCACACTGTCCAAGCAGAGAAAAATACACTCTACCCATAAACTCAGATATTTTAAGGAATCTGCCATATATATGTAGAATCAGTAGCTGGGTTAAATGACACAGTTAACTGTTTTTCACTGGATATGCACCAGTGTCCTACTTTAGCTTAGTGTAGTTTACACACTGAAGTCACAACTTAACCCTTGACATGCCAAGCTCAAAGGCCCCGATCCTGCCAACACTCCCCTGTGGACAGAGGGATTTTCATTTATCTCACTGGATTTCTCCAGTGCTTTAAAATAACCCGGGCGCGTAAGCACTTGGTGGGAACTGGACTGAGGCGACAGGATTCCAACTACCTTAGTGACTGGGTTGTTATTCTGCATAACAGTCCTTTTGAGTTGTATATTTAAAACCAGAACATTCTCCTTTTAGGTACATCATGTGTTTTTTTCCAAAGGGACTGAGCTTGTGGGAAGAGAAAGAAGGAAAGAAAGGAGCATATGGAAGAAAAAAGACTTTTAGTACTAGGTAGAACTGTGCCTAATTTGTACTTTTTTTAAAGTATCATCACCTAGAGATTTAGGCTATTGGAAAATACATTAAAAAAAGTCAAGACTCAGATGGGAACTAGGCCACACTGTTTCTTTGCTGCATGCTCTCTGCAGGTTCTGGGTGTGAGCTGAAAACTATTATCCCAGGTTTTATTGTGGGTAAAAATAAAGACAGGATGTGCTTCACAGCACCTCACAGTTACACGGCTGCCCTAGGGGGGGTTTTCAGACTGACAACTGTGGTGTAACACCACAGAAGGGTGGTGACATTCTATTTTAAATGTTATATTACTAGAATAATTCACAAAATATTTCAATGTCTAATTTACCTGGGCGAAACAAAACTCAGAGGTGCTAAACATCAACTGCAACAACAGCACTGCATTATGTACAGAAATACCTGTCCATTAAAAGTGCTTCACATTAGAACAATGTATTTTAAAATATTTCTCTGCACTTTGTAATAACCATTTTTTATTCTAAATTCTTCCATATGCAACTCTTCCATACATATTTGATAAAGTGACGACTGTGTCAAGACGGTTTGGGAACATCAGCTCTCCAGTTCTGGTGTTTGCCATGCTCCCTGTGCCTAATGGGCTTGATTCCACCCCCTCTAAAGCCACTGGGAATACTGGGTAACATTCCCAGGCTCCATGCTACTGCAATTCTCACAGACAGTATTTCTGTACCAAACATACCGCCGAAGAGAGAGATTTAAAAATGATGTAGTGCTCTGAAGATGCCGGGCTATGGCAGGTTGGGATGGGATGTTATGAATTTTAATCAGTGTGTTATGGTGAAGGGATGTGGCAGAACACAGATTTTCCAAATGCCATTAATTAACAGATTTGAGTGCCCTCTCCTGCTCGGGTCAGACTGTGTTTCACGTTGTCGTATCACAGATGTGGTGAGAGAAGTATTTACAGACTCTGTCAACAAGTCCTGAGCCAGTTTCCTTGTAAATACTGCTGCTATTTGAGCTCCATTTATGCTTAATTTCTCTTAAGGAGGGAAGGGTCTGCAGTTCGAATCCATCCCTGCCCTGCAGGCCTGACAGTGCTCTTCCACGCAGTTTTCCGGAGCTGTTACCAGATGGACACTTCCCTTTGCTGTTTTAAAGATGTTCTGCATCAAAACAATTCTTCTGCTCCTGCCAACTCCCCCATGTGTATCCTCTGCATCCAACATGGACTAGGGTATGGGCACCAGCAAGGCTCGGCATGCCCTCCCGCCCCAGGAGAACCACAGTTCACACCTCCTCAAATTTGAGATGGAGAAGGAAGAGGGAATTCAGAAAGTGCTCCGTCCTCTCGCTGTCCAAAGCCTGTTGGGTTACACTCATGACACCCCCCTGTCCCTGGGCGAAGGCACCACCTGCTCCCCCCTGACCTCACAGCTCCAGCCGCCACCTCCCGGACCGAGGTCGAGAAGCCAACAGAACATCTCAAGAGTAAGGAACAAGCCTCCCCACTGAGTGCTGGTGAGGGAGAGAGCCCCGGGAATGCCCGTGCCCAGGGACTGTCCCATGGCCCAGCACTACTCGGCGCGGCCCCAGCCCGGCAGTTACCTGGTGAGCAGCCCCCGGCGCGGCCAGAGCCGGCTCGGCAGGGTGGATCACGCTCGGCTGCAGCGCCGGAGCAGCAGGAGGAGGCGGCTGCTGCGGCTGGGACACGGCCTGGGTGCCCTGCGCGTGGTGGGGAGAGGGCGCGTCGCTCGGCAGGATCTGCTGGAAGGCGGGCTGGAACATGGGCTGCTGGGGCAGCGGGGGCACCCCGGCGTGCGGCGCAGCGCTGGCCACTCCCGGCGGCGGCCACGGCGAGCAGCGGGACTGGTGGCAGCGACATGTTTGGCACTATGGTTTGGCAGGGCAGGACCAGGGAAGCCACGGTGGTGTGAGGCAGGTTGACGGCCTGCATGGGCAGGGCAGGGGAGTTGGGGGCCATGGGCAGGGTGGGGTTCATGGGCAGGCTGGGCAGGATCACGGCCGGAGCAAAGTACTGGGAAGGAGCAGGAATGGGGGGCACGTTTGCAGCAGGGATGTCAGAGAGGTTTGGAGGAAGGTTGTCAAGGCCTGCCAGAGGAGTAATTGCAGGAATGACAGGAAACTGAGGAATCTGAAAAACATACAATATCGCATAAATTGCCGGTGTTTCCACTGATGGTACAAAACAGTTTCATCTGCCACGCAAGTCCCTGAAAACCACCTGTGCCATGAGGATAATTATGTCTGCTCGTTAATCACTTCCATTCACTTCCTGAGGTTTACAAACAGTAATAAAAACTGATTTATGCTTAAATCATTAGTAAAAGCAAAAAAAAAATAAAAATTTTGGGGACGCATTTTTATACCTCAGAAGCTTAAAACCACTTCTAACACCATCTTGAAGCCTTCAAGCAACATCCTAATTAAAAGCTGCTTTTATTTTAACAGAAGTTAAAAGGAATTAAACCAGACATAACATGAAACTCTTTCATGCAAAATTCAGTAAGACTATTTAAACCCTTGTTTTTAAATGAGCTGCAACCCAAGCAGTGTGGAAGAACCCAGAAAAAAGGGTTTTTACAATTGAAACCTCCCGGTGATGGAACAAACCCCGGCATCATGGTGCCAGCTTGCTCCTGCCCTTTGGCACAAGCTGCTCCACATCACAGTGGTTGCTACCAGCAAACACAGTGACAGCACCAACCACCTCCCAGGCCAAGGGGAGGGTACATCTCTGCTTTGGAGACCAGAACCGGGGCAAAGAAAGAGACAGGGCTGGCAGGTGTAGGGGAAAGTGGTGAAGTCAGGAGGTCAGAAAATAGAAAAAAAAAGGGCAATTTCTCATGCTGTCAAGCCTGGGATGGGGAAGAGAGTGTTCCAGAGGGAACAGTGCGAAAAACCCAAACCAAAACAACATCAAAAAGCAGTTATTGCCAGTTTGGAACTGCCATTAACTGGATGCCACAGGGTTGGGTACAAGAGATTTCTTCTTCACCAAACAAATAGTAAATAATAAAGGAATACACGGGAACTGGGAAAAAGCAAACGTTCTCGTGGCCTAACTAAACTGGCATGCAGTCAAAACAGCCACACGAAAAACCGGAAATCACGTTAATTATTAGCTGGAGAGCTTTCCCCCAGTGGATGTGTTCACACGCCGTTACCTGGGAGGGGGCCACGGGCGGGAGCTGCGGCACAGTGGAGATCTGCAGGGGCTTCAGGGGGGCACTGCTGGCTGCCACGGGCGAGCCCTGGGCTGGGAACTGGGGCAGCAGGTGTGGCGCGGGCTGGAGCGGGCACACGGGCTGGCTGGCCAGGACCTGCGGCAGGGGGGCCGCCTGGGACATGGGCTGCTGCTGCTGCTGCTGTGGGAGACAACGGGGAAAAGGCTTATTGGCTCGTGGGCCACAGAAGGACCAGGTGGCAGAACACACTGCCTGCTTCTGTCCAGCTCGCTGTCAGGACAGACCCGCTGGCTGGACTGTGGAATCACAGAACCACTGTGGCTGGAAAAGACCTCTAAGATCCCCGAGTCCAATCGCCAACCCAGCACTGCCAGGTCCACCACTAAACCATGTCTCCATGTGCCACATCTGCATGTTTTTTGGACACTGGCAGTGAGCCCACCACTTCCAGTGACCCCTCCAATGCCTGACCACCTTTTCCATGAAGAAAATTTCCCTAATATCCAACCTGAACCTCCCCTGATGCAACTTGAGGCAGTTTCCGCTTGTCCTGTCACTTGTTCTCTGGGAGTAGAGCCCAGCTTGCCCCCCCTCCGGCTCCCCCCTCCTGTCAGGGAGTTGGAAAGAGTAAAAAGGTCCTGCCTGAGCCTTTTCTCCAGGCTGAGCCACCCACAGCTCCCTCAGCTGCTCCTCATCAGACTTGTGCTCCAAACCCTTCCCCAGCCCTGTTGTCCTTCTCTGGACACACTCCAGCCCCTCAGGAGATGTTCCAGCCCCTCAGGACATGCACCCAGCAAGGACAGCTTACAGAAGAGATGGACACTCCTAATTCAAACACTGCACAGCAGCCCGTGCTTAAAACATATTTAAATACAAGACACATTACCTAAAAAGACAAGTTCTAACTATCTTGGAGAGGTTATTTGTAACCACTCAGACTCTTTAAATCCCAGAGATTGTTCCAGTTGGTACTGTGAAATCCCACCCACTAACTTTCAAGATGCAGATAATACCCAGCACATCCTGGCATGCAGAAGCTGCTACCTAAAGAGGCAGGCACAGGAACCACAACACTTCTTATCTGAGACACAACAAACCACAATAATAACAGTAAAAGTTGGGTCCCAGTTATTTCTGAGGTGCTGTAGTGACAGTGTGGCAGCGAAAAAAGCAGTTTTACTTTTCCAGGGAAAGCAGGCTTTGGGCAGCAGAATAGTGAGAAAATGTTGCATTAAAGCTGGAAATAATAGAAACAAACTTCCACATTTTGCGTGCTACCAGTATCTCCTCCTTCAGTTCCTCTAATTAGTTCTGAAAGGCCTTTAAAAACCCTTCTAAACCAGAAAGATGGCACTGGAGACACAGGCTGGCTCATGGTGACCTATTTGGGACTGCAGGGCTGATGGCTCCACCAGGTTTTGCAGCACACACCACCTCACACAGTGCCTGTGGTCAGAAGGTAAACTTTAAAAGGGATAGCCAAGTGTTAGAATCCTTCATTTTTGCCACTTCCACCACAAATCTGTACAGGAATATGTTGCTCAGCACTTTTTTAATAGCAGGACTCCTCAACCAGTTTGGTATTAATGCAATAAAACTGTAGCAGATGTACTATAGAATCACAGAAACGTTTCAATCGGAAGGGACCTCAAAGATCACCTCATTGCACCCCCTGCCATGGGCAGGGACACCTTCCACTAGCCCAGCTTGTTCCAAGCCCTGTCCAACCTGGCCTTGGACACTTCCAGGGATGGGGTAGCCACAGCTTCTCTGGGCAACCTGTGCCAGGGCCTCCCCACCCTCACAGGGAAGAATTTCTTTCTCATATCTTAGCTGGACCTACCCTCCTTCAGCTTAAAGCCATTCCCTTTTGTCCTGTCCCTCCATCCCTTGTCCCAAGTCCCTGTCCAGCTCTCTTGGAACCCCTTTAGGCACTGGAAAGGCCCTCCTGGAGCCTTCTCTTCTCCAGGTTGAACACCCCCAGCTCTCTCAGCCTGTCTCTGCATTGATGAAGCAAGATGCCATCCACCCTTAAACAGCTAAACTTCAGCCATGACTGGTAAGTTCCCAATACAGGATCGGGGAACAAAAGAGAATTTGGTGCTTGGTGTCACATATCCAGGGCTGACAACACTGAGTGCCAGAGTGAGCACATCACACTGGAGGTGGCACTGAAGAACTCCCTGCAGCCTCAGCGTGGCTCCTGCAGCATAAGGTGGTCATGCCTGAGCATTACTCTGCCACATGACATCAAAATCCAGCAACATGGATCTGTGCTGCAGTTTCTGCCATCCCAGGTTTTGGGAAAAGAGGCAGCATCTACCCAGTTACAGTCCCAAACCCAAGGGAACGGCAGCGTGGGAGCTGGCCTGGCACTGCTGATGGGACAAACTGGCCAAGGTGGAGGCACCTGGGGAGTGCCTGAGGGACTGGGGGGGCCCACTCACCCCACAGAGGAACTCCTGCCAGACCCAGCCCGAGCTCCAGAGCAGAACAGCCGCACACCCACTGGGCTGGAGCAAATAAACCTGCCAGTTCCCACAGCCAGCTCAGCTCTCACACCCAGCCGGGTTAATCTGCAGCTCAGACGGCTGCCCACGGGTCACCACGGACAGGGGGCACGGGCACAGGTGGCTCAGCCACCTCCCACTCGAGGAGAGACCACGTTAGCAGCAGGAAAACAGCATTCAGGGAACAGAGAGGCTTCCTAAAACCTCTGCTTCAAATTCAGCTCGTGTCTTAAAGTGCTTGTGAACGGGATGAGGCACAAGGAGGGGAAAATATCCAGGTGGATTAGTAACTCTGCCTCATAACTTTAACAGTATAAATGCACAGACACTCAAATTGGAAAAAAACCCAAAACAATCACAAGATGCAACATTGATCCCACGTCTGAGCCACCAGTGTATAATGATACAAGAACATCCTGTAGGCAGGTGAATTTCTCACCCCCATTTCCTCTTCTGCTGCCCCCCCCCCCAGCATGGACATTCCCAAAGTCCCCACACACCTGGGGACTCCAGGACCTACTGCTATCTCTGAGACACAGGTGCACTCTGGGAAGTTCTGCAGAAAAACTTGACCATTTTACCTATTTTTGTAATAATAATAAAACTGTAAAAAGCCAGTTTTTTATTAGGCTTCCTAGTAAGATTAGGAAGCAAAGACAGATCAGTAATTAAATCCTTCTGCTGTCAGGGATAGAACTATTCCAAGAGACAGCAATGCTGTGAGGAAAGGGCACGATAAAGGAATTAAGTTGGGCAAATATCCTATTCCAAACCAGAATCTGCTCATGGGAGAAAATAAACAACAGATTTGGAACTGTCAGCATAAAGCTCCAGAGGCCACCAGCAAGACCTGTGCAAATGGTGAGGTCCTAAACCTGCCTGAGTATAAAATTTTTGTCTGAGACAACCACGAGATTATCTCTGCCCATTAGAAAAAAACCTGTTATGTGACAAAACCTTGCACAAAGGTATGTTTTTCAAGGAGACCAAACGACACATCTCCATTATTGATGCTTTGAGAAGAACGGGGCATGTTAAAAAAACCCCTAAATGGCAACCAGTGAGATAAATGTTGATAATTCAAAAGGTTTGGAGAGGTATGATTCATGCCAGTCACAAAGTACAGACACTCTCCAGCACCAGCAACAGTTTCTACAGAAGGAAGTCAAGTTTTTGTATAATCACCAAAATAAGCCATGAACTACCAGATCATACCAGGCTGTGGCTGCATCCCTCATGAGAGCACCCCCTCCACTGCTGGGAAGAGTTGCTTTGGAAATAGCTTTAGGAAATGCAGGGTTTGGAGTGAGATTTGATCCCTGAAAATGCACAAGAGTTACTGTTTGGAGGCAACTCAGAGACAGGCTTTGCTGCTGAAGGTGGACCTCCTGGCTGGGTGCCTGCACTGAACTGTATTAACATCTCATTGAGCAGCACCACTGAGGATTCAGAGACAAGTGGCACCAGGCTAAGGGGTCTCTTTCTAACCTTTTAGAAAGGAGGTGCTGAATAATAACACAAAATTATTAACAAACTGTTGGATTTTTACAGATCAAGACAGCACACTGATATCAATGCAAGGCTTCAGGCTGATGCTGCGAAGCCACAATGGAAGACTTAAACTCAACCAAGACATGCCAATGTGTGTTCCACGACTGTCCTCAAGGCTGTTAGGCCAAATACCCATTGTCCCACTCCTAAATCTCTCAAGCTGCAGTTTAACAGTTTCAAACAGCTCAAACTCGCTACAGGTATCCCAGAACCACAGGAGTGGTTTGGGTTGCAAGGGACCTTAAAGCTTATCTTGTCCCACTAGCCCAGGTTGCTCCAAGTCCCGCCCAACCTGGCCTTGGACACTTCCAGGGATGGCACAGCCACAGCTTCTCTGGGCAACCTGTACAAGCTGGAGCAGAGCACAGGGAAGGGGCGGGATGAGGCAGGGGCTTTTTGGTAGAGCCCAACTCTCACCTGCTGGCCGGCCAGCACTGGCGGCGGCGGCTGCCCCAGCGGGAGGGAGGCGACCGTGGTGGGCTGGACAACCGGGAACGGCATCGCCGGCTCCTGGTAGTGCTGGGGCACCACGGCGGGCGCCGCCGGCACCGCGGGGAGGACGGGCTGTGGAGAGAGAGAGCACGGCATCAGGGAGGGCACCGCCACCTCAGGGGCTCTGCGACCGCTCGGCACCAACGCAGCCGCGCACAGCTCGTCCGCTCGGTACTTGGGTCAAAACAGAGGGGAGAAAACTCCTCTGCAAGGAATGGAAACCTAAAAACGTGGAAAAAAGTCAGCAAATGCCAAATAAATTAATGAAACCACGCTGCATTTCTTTCTGGAAGCAAGAGTGCAGACCAGTAAAACCAGTGGAAGCACAGTGAGTGGGAACAGACCAGCAACAACAACCGGGTAACGGTTTTATCTTTACAAATTTATCTACAAATTTATCTTCAAATTTATCTTCACAAAGTGTTTTTTAATTTTATAATCTTCATCTTCCAAAAAAGCAGGCAATTTACTGGAAACGGATGCCAGGAAAATAAATGGAGAAATGAGAAACAAATTAAAACCATAGTTGGAGTGGAAAAAAATTAAAATAGAAATTCAGATCAGGTTTTAACAACATCAGGTCTCTACAACTTCAGCTCAAACAAAACAGATAAATTACACATAAACAGTATGTCAGACTGAGGCTCATAGGCCTAAAAAACCCCTACTGCAGCTCCAGTTATGTGCTTGTCAACTTGGTCAATAATACCCAGTTAAATACAGCAATTCTTTTTTTTTTTTAATTGGAAAACAGAAGGTTTTTCATCAGACTTTGTTTCCTGTGTTTTTTTAGATTTACCAGACTCTTAACCTAAATTATCACAGGAAGAAAAAAACCATGGCAGACCCATCAGAAAATAAAAAGTAGAAGAAATATTTTGCTTGTGAATGAAGGATGTTGTCTTTTCAAACCCTCAATCAACAAGTTTAGGTTAAAGTTACTAGAACCTATCAACAAAAAGAATGACAGAATGTGCTGCACAGCTTGATTTGATAATAAATTCTGCTCAAGGTGTGCTTTCGGAGTGTTACATTTAGAAGGGTTCATTTGGTGCTTCGGGTGAAGAAGAAATGAGGAAGGATTCATCCCATCCATTCCAGGAGATGTGTGCCCATAGGAAAAGTGCTTTCCACAGTAGAGGGAGCTGGCTACAGATGCCAAGGATGAATTTTTTACCTTCAAGTGAACAGAGTTGATGCATTTCCAAAATACAGTTTGGAATTTTTTGGCAACGTTTTGGAAAAATATATGGTAAAATCAGGGGAAATGAGGCACTTCCCAAGTGCGTAGGGTAAATCTGGAAAAAAACACTGTTCCTGGATTTAATTTTTTCTTCTCTTGATGCCTCTGGATTTTTTAGATTTTTAGCTTTTTGTAGATTTTAGAAGTAGTTGTGTAATGAATGTAGGTTTTAATGTACCTGTATAATTTGTCACCCTTTAGCACAGTAGTTTACACATAACCCTTTTACCCCATTTCATATCAAACTTTCTAAATTCCTTTAGTTTGTTTAGACTTCTCTCAAGGCAGGCCTTCATTCTGTTTAACAATGTTGCACCCCAGGCCTCTACAACAAGGTACACCATAGTCAAAGCAACCTTCAAATCCTTAACCTGGGAGGAGCTCCAAGAGACTGTACGTGCTGTGATGAAGAGGAAGATGAGGAAGAAGGGGTCCTGAGGGACCCCTGACTCAAGTTCTGGAGGGGTATGCTGGGGGCAGAACTGGGAAGGATCTGGGGGGTGGATAGATCTGGGATTGGATGGACAACACCATAAATTGTGGAACCCCTGGACACATGGGACAAACGTCTCTGTACTCCTGGTGGTTGAAGGCCTTCATTAAAGAACCAGCTTTATATCTTATCTCTACTAATAATTGCCTGGGGAGTCTATTTTTTTGCTCCCGTGATCTTTAAGGCATTGCTCTTAAGACCAAGAGGATGCAACCAACAAAAAAATGAAGTACCATGTCATCACTGTCATTTTTACTGCTTGGGGTGCTCCAGTCCCCAGTGTGCACTGCTAGCTGGGATGGGACCGTGGAGGCTTCTCACAGAGGAGTCACAGGATGGTTCAGGTTGGGAGGGACCACTGAGGTCATCCAGTCCAATCTCCCTGCTCAAGCAGGTTTCCCATGAGCATGTTACTCAGGATTCTGCTCAGACAGGCTTTGAGTATCTCCAGGGAAGGAGACTCCACCACTTCCCTGGGCAGCCGGTGCCAGTGCTCCTTGCTTCCTGGCCATCAGAGGATTCAGAAGGCAGAATGTTTTCTGCAACCCCTGCAGGGTTGCAGAACCCCTGGGGGAAGAACTGGTCTTTTGGCCAATTCTGACTTGTAAAGATTCCCATAACAGAGCAGGTCTGAACACCTGCCACAGGGCCCCCTGCTCTGGGGAAGGGGTTGGAACACAGCATTTTCTGGGAGTCAGTTAACTGGGGAGTGAGAACTTCCAGCAGGCATTGAGGTGTCTGACGTGTTCTGGTCTTGGCCAGTCCAAAATGAGTGGTCTGGGCATGCCTGAGGAGAGCGGTGAGGACACATGAGCTCTGCAGAGCCTGCAGGACCCCAGAGCCACTGGAGGCCACGTGCCCCCTTCCTCTTCTCTCCCCCGCAGATCTGCGTCTTCCTCTCCGGGTTCCAGGGGAAGGGACATGGGAATCACAGCCAGGATGGGGTCACTGAGGCAGCAAGACGCAGTGTAAGGGTGGCCTGTCACATGTGAGGGGCACAGAGGCTGGATTGGGACACAGTCCTCCACAGCTCCCCAGGGACACAACGTGCTGGAAGCACTCAGAGATCTCTGTTCACTTGCCTATGTTTGTCCTTGCACCAGCAATTCCATGAAGCACTTTTGGCCGAGGTCATAATGGGAGCAAGTGGGAACAGCTGACAGGGCTGCCAGTGCCTGGTGTTGGAGCCCCAGTAAGGGACATACATCACTGAATCCACACGAGGTCAAACCCACACCAAGAGCCCCAAAGGCAGGGACTGGATGACCCTGTAACCCTTGTCAGAGCTGGAGGGAACACCGGAGCCAGGGGGCTCTTGGAGCAGAAACACAGGACTACACCAACAGTGAGCAAAACAAAACAGTTGCAACCACGGGCAGCAGATTAAAAGTAAACACAGAATCAGGGAATCACCGGAGTGTTTGGGTGGGAAGGGACCTTACAAACAACCTCATCCCACCCCCTGCCATGGGCAGAGACACCTTCCACTAGCTCAGGTTGCTCCAAGCCCCGTCCAACCTGGCCTTGGACACTTCCAGGGATGGGGCAGCCACAGCTTCTCTGGGCAACCTGTGCTAGGGCCTCATCACCCTCACAGAGAAGAATTCCTTCCCAATATCCCATCTAACCCTGCCCTCTGGCAGTTTAAAACCATTTTCCCTTGTTCTGTCATTCCAGGCCCTTGTCCAAAGTACCTCCACAGCTCTCTTGGAGCCCCTTTAGGCACCAGAAGGGGCTCTAGGGCTTCCCTAAAGAATTCTCTCCTCCAGGCTGAACACCTCCAGTCCTCCCAGCTTGTCTCCAGAGCAGAGGGGTGCCAGCCCTTGGAGCATCTTCATGGCCTCCTCTGGAACTGCTCCAACAGGTCCATGTCCTTCTTATGCTTTGTGGCAAAGCCACTAACAGATTTCAGCATCAACGGATTGATAAGGAACTTTTTTACTGAAAGTATGACAGCTGCCAGTGAAGCAGGATGGCAAATACCACGACTCAGGCACCATCCCCCATTTCACATCCACCAGGAATGTATCACTGAGCAGGTCACCACCCACAGCGACGAGCGAGGAACACATAAAGAGGGTCCCGGAATCTGCACCCTCCAGAAACAAGAATATCAATGGTAATACTGAATACAAAATGATCCGAAAAAAAAAAAAGCTTTAGACTTACTGCTGAGGGCTGCTGGTAGTGCCCGAGCTGGGGCAGGCTGTGGGGCACGGGCTGGCTCTCACTCAGGGGGGGGCTGTACACCCGCTGGATGGCCGGGGGCACTGCATCGGGCAGGGACGAGTAGATGACACTTTGCTGGCTGCTCTGGGAGTCAGAATAAACAGTGGAGCCCTGGCCGCTGTCAAACGTGCTGTCAGCTGAAAGAACAGTTAATTTTTATTAAAAGCCCAACAACCCCAAACGTTCGAGCGACGACTTTAGAGCAAGGTCACCGTGGTTTATGCAATTAGCGTTTTTACTACCCTGGCCCTTTTGTTATATAAATAAATTATACAACACAAATGTTATTTTCTGCAAAAGGCACATACTGCTTCTCTTAAGCCAAAAGGCATCCCCATGGATTTCTGTGCACAGTGATATTTTAGGCACATTAATATTTCCTTTAAAGGGCATAAGGTTGACATTAAGAATTGCAGACGTCTATAGATTCTGTAGGATGAAAGGAGAGGTAATCCCAATTGTCATGTTCAGAGCAGATCATGGGCTCTTTTAGAGTTCCACCTCCCAGGGATGCACTGACTTTAACACCTTTTTTTACTAGCAACACTGAAAATCACAAAATTCTTTATGCTGTATGACTTATTAGTCCAGCAAGTCACACCCTGCTTGCATGTAGAGCAGCACCTCAAGCTGCAGGTCAGACACAAAACCATATGCAGGTTTCAGTGAGTTAAGAGTACACTCTGTGGGAGTTTCTCATGGAGCATTTGCCCAGTGAACCTGTGGAATTGCACAGCTACGGGCACTGGGAGAGCACCAGGTCCTTTGTCCAGGGGAAATATTGGTATTACTGATTTAAAAATGTTTCTTCACGACTTTTAAAGCCTGTAAAGTACAGGTTCCCAGCTCTTCTTGAGCATAAGCTACTGCTTTCTTCACTTGAGAAAGGAAATGAGATAATCAGACTGCAGTTGGATGTATACAAAGGACAAACAGCTTCTAAGAGATTAAAAATTAAAAAATGAAAGAAAACTGCAATGCAGTTTAAAAAAATGGCTTAAGTTACAGCTAAGCTTAAACACCATTTCTTTTTCCAACACTTTCCATCGTCTCTTTTTTCCATATTCTAAATGAGGTTTTAGTTATTTGGCTTTAAATAAAAAATTATTTTTTAATAGCACCAGAGATGACATTTCTCTTCAGTACTTACAAACTATTCTCCCAGCTGTTTGGGTTTTTTTCCAAAATTAAACTCCCCTCTCTATTTATTCAGTTCATTTCTGAAGAGCCAACACAGCTCTCTCTCACGATGGGAATTCTGCTGCATAAACACTTCCATTTTATTACAAACAATTATTCAGGACCTCAAAGGGGAAAAAAAAAAGTATGACAGTCAAGTGCTAAGGTAAAAGCTGTGAGTCAGCCCCAGGATTTTATAGAACAACACACATTAAGTTATTAGTTTCCATTTTTACGTTTGACCTCAGATTACATGAACAGGTGGCACTCTAATTTACAGAGGTCTTATGCTAAGAAAATGTTCAAATACTCTGATAGCAAATTGTCAAATAACACCAAGTGTTGGTGAAAAGTTGAGGAGGAATAGGAAATAAATTGGGGGGCTTATATTTAGTATAAAATTCTGCCAACTCATGTCCAGCAGAATCATGGGAAGCACAAATTGCCTTGTTGCACCACTGGAAACAAAAAGAGTAATAATTGCAGTGTTCCTCAAAGGAATTAGCATGAAATAAATATGTGATCCAAAAAAATAAAATGAGCTCAATTTAGATTCAAATAAAAAGCTTTGTGAATACAGCAATATTGTGAGTGTTATGCAAATGTGGCCAAATATCTTGTAGAGACATTTTTCCTGCAGAGGCATGGATGGATATTTCAGAATTCAAAGCAGACCTCTTTGTAGCCCTTTATACGATACCTGAATTAAAGCAGCAGCTGTGTCTTTGCTAAAGCTAATGCATCTTTAACTCAAATGTGCTTAAATACAAGTCCAGAACAGCAAAACAGAAACATTATGATAATTGTTTTGTAGGAAAATATGCATATCGGATTTTATCAGAAAAATTGGCTAGGAAAAAGGAAAAGAACTCTCATAAAATTTCAGATCTTCCAAGCAAAAAATCACAGAATCACAGAATGGTTTGGGCTGGAAGGGACTTTAAAGCTCATCTTGTTCCACCTCCTGCCATGGGCAGGGACACCTTCCACTAGCCCAGGGTGCTCCAAGCCCCGTCCAAGCTGGCCTTGGACACTTCCAGGGATGAATATCTGGCAATGTTTCCTTCAAGATGGTTAAAAGTACAAACAGATTTAGATTTCAGTACCAGAGCTCGAGTCAGTAACAAAGGTTAATTTTAGAGGCCAGAGTCAGGGCAGAGTTACTTTAGGAAAATAAAAGCACTCCCCCTTCCTTGTGCTGTGCTGTTTGCTGGGGGTAAATCCGACACTCAGAATCCAAACGAAGAGACAACAAGCTCTGCAAGCCAAACCAGGGAGTTTCTTAGCCAGAGATAGACCAGAATCAGTGCTTGGAATTAAACCAGGAGGTGTCCTTGAAATAGCCCCGGGATCAGCCCCAGCTGCATGTCAAGGGCTGGCACATCAGTGACTCCCTACTCTGATCTGCCACAGGGGAGCTCAAACAGGCCCTGGCTTCAGGGCCATGAGCTCAGGGCAAAAGAGAGCATGATCCAAAGACCCAACAGCAATTACAATGTCAGCCCACAGCCCTGGTGCTCCCAAGACCCCTGACCAAAACACAGCTGGCATTTCTCATAAAACAGGGAAATCTTAAATTACATCACGTAACATCCAGAGATGGATTTTTCTTCCTACCACAGACCTTTGCACAGCATCACAAAAAACTGCAAGACATCAGGAGTCACTTGAAAACACAAGAGCCTGCTGTGCCTTGGTTTCAGTAAGGTCTGGTTTGCAATGAACATCTCCACAAGGCCAACATCATTTGAAAGAGCCACCAGTTGCTCTGACCAGTTTGAATCATACACATTCACAGAATCCCAAGTTGGAAGGAACCCACAAGGATCAGCAATCAGTTTGGTGCCAATTCGACTTCTGCAGGCTCTGAAATCATGTTTTGCATGAACTTGATCCCACCACCTAGCACAGAAAACACGTAGCTTTTGTGTCAAGCAGCAGGTTTCCTTGCCTTTCCACTTAAAAATATGTTATGGTTTTGGTATTTATTGCTACTGAAGGAATGTATATAGAGATATCTGTATTATATAGTTTTCTTGAAACTTTAACAGAACACGCTGAGTTGGAAAGGACCCACAAGGATCATCCAGTCCAGCTCCTGGCCCTGCACAGGTCTATCCCTGAGAGCCACACCACATGCCTGAGAGGATCATCCAAACGCTCCTTGAGCTCTGGCAGCCTTGGGGCTGTGCCCACTGCCCTGGGGAGCCTCTTTCAAAATTGTGATGTGTCGCGTTTTTTGAGCTACTGTTCAAACCCACACTCATCAGTTCCTCTCTCCCCCGAGCTGGGATCACTGTGGCTTTTTCCCCTTGGAGATTCACCACCGTGTGCCCACAGACCACGAGACTTACAGGCGACGGAGGTGACGCTGGTGGGCAGGTTCTGCTGGAAGGGGTGCTGGTCCGCCTCCGGCTCCTCCGGCTCCGACAGGACGTGGTGCCCCGTGTGGGACAGGTACGTGACCTGCACCTGCTGCGCCTGCGGCGCCTTCAGCTTCTCCAGGCACTCCGAGTCCCGCCGCTCCTCCGACTGCATCCTCGGCCAGATCCGCTCTCTCCTCCACAGGATCAGCGCTACTCTGTCCCGGATGGACTTGGCAACTATCTTGAGATCGTTTTCATGGAAAAATCCCGAGTCAATCTGCAGAGGAGGCACAGACTTAGCAAGGTCACGCGCGCATGGACGTGCACACACGTGTCACACACCTGTGCCACTGAAATCTCTTCCTAACAGAGAAAACATCAGTTTGAAACAATATGAATTTAAATAAATTTATTTCTCATGAGAACAGGAACTCGAGAGCTTGATGGGGTCTTTTTTTAATAAAGCTTCTATCCCAAATGCATTAAAAAACCCAGTATGTAATTTCTAAGATATGAATAGGTATTGGCTCAATTTATTCACCACTTAACATCCATTGTGGAGAGCAAGTTTAATGGCAGATGGGTTCCCCTCTTTTTTTCTTGTTAACACTAAAAGAATAGTCAAAACAGGAAAAAGAATCTTTGAACAACGCAACTGGAGTGAATCAAACTACCCCTAAATCTGAATTTATTGCCTTAACCTTTCCAGCACACACAGTTTCCCAAATTACTCTGCCCGGCAGCACAGCAATCTCTGAGGGACAAGATGTTAACAGAATTATGTCTCAAATTAACTTCTCTTAAATAGTGAAGTCAGTCAGTATTGATTGACTTTTATAAACAAAAAGCCCATCAGTGAGTTCGATGCAGACTGTTCCCATTTGAAGGAAAAGGGGACGAGGTTTCTCAGAACTCAACCACTTGACAGATGAAATGGAAATTCATCTTTGTGCTATTTGTTCATATAATCTCCTCCAGCACAGGGTATGAATTTTCATTTAATAATAACCTACCAGAGCTTTGTCTGCTCTCCCTACATTCTTAACATACATATTCAATGGATCTGGAAGCACTTGTATCCATGGGGGAGATCTAGAGGCTTTCCTGCTTTGCTCTTGCCCAAACGTGAGGCAGTTTCACAGCTTAAATTTTCACTGTTTAAAATTAATGGGGGTAAAGTAGCCTAAAACACAGGTTCATTTTAATGAAGATGTGCCACTTTACAGTCCCTACTGATTAGGAGAGCTGACTTCAGGCTCCAAACCCACCAGAACACTTCAAGCTCCTTTTAGCCACATCCTTTGGACAGGTGGGATTGCCCAACTACCAAAACCACACCAGTAATGATAAATAATTGCCTGTACTCAGGAGGTCTCCTGCATTCTTCTCTTCTACAGCACATAAAACAACAAACTGATGAAAGCACATGGCTTTGGTGTTCCACAACTGATAAGGACTAGAAAAAGACATTTAAGAATAAATGTCCCTCTTTTCTGCCCCTGCAACAGCCTGAAGTTTGAAAGCATTTCAGGACAGTCACTTAGGTAACTATTAATGCAGAACACAGGTTTTAAAATTATTTGGGAAAGGGTATAGTGTCACTGTAGTTTGGGCATGATACTTTTTACTAGAATCATTTCCTCTTCAAAACAAAACATCACAGCTGTGGACCAAGCAACTTACAGAACTTCAAAATGCCAGATATTTCCACCAATATTTAAATGCAAAATATAACAGTAGGTAACTGTAGCAGAGCCACTTTTAAACTAAATAGTTCTGTAACAATACACTGCTGGAAAAATACTGGACCTACTGCAAACTAATGACAAGAAGACAGAGGAGCCTGAATTCCTCCCACTAAATTTGGAGCAGAAGGTGACGATTCCCAGCAGAGCAAGGCAGCATTACCAAAAAGAGTGCCTCCTGAGCAGAACAGGAGTGGTGATGACAACACTGTTAAATGGGAACCCTTGGGATTTAGATGATAATAGCATTTCTGCAAGCACAGGAAAGTTCAGACCTCGGCTCAGAGCTTACTGACTCTGAGCCTCCATGACGCTGGAACGGTGCAGTAAAGGCACCACTGAAACATGAGTTCAAGAACAATGTAGTGAAATTGGAACACAGATTCTCTAACAAAACTCCACAAGTTAACGAAGACACAGAAACTCACCAAGTTAAACTTATCTGTTAAAAAATCCAAAGCTTATTCCTAACTGGGTGAATCTAGTTTCCTATCAATGTCTGGCGGTAGAGTGGCTGACCACAGACCTTCCTCATCTACACTCCTCCTAAGGAACACCATAGAAAAGATGGGAAAAGGAGTTTTGGAGAATTCAGTGCAGAAAGTTTTGTGACTGAACTTCTGAGCTCTTCTAATTTGTTTCAAGCTGCTGCCTGGAACTAAACAGATTCCAAACACATTCGAAGACATTCAACGGCCGACAGAAACTGGCAAAAGAGTTTGCAAAACATAAAAGTGGACCAGACCTTTATGGTCCCTAAGCTATTTGAAATGTTATTTCAGGCATCTGCTTTCATACATGGCAAACAATATGTTTCAGTTATTAGTTCTTCCCCGTTTACCCCTTTCTTGCAGCATTCACTCCAAAATCAATGCAAAGTGCCTAAACTGGACACCTGGAATGGTTCAAGTGGAGTTACTTCACCAGACTTGTTCCTGCTGTCTTTTGAGACTTATGCACTACTTTATATATACACATTTTTTGTCAGGAGAAGTTTATTTTACCATTTCTTGTGCAACATCATCAGGAGTTTCCTTCTCCAGATCAAAAGTAAACTCAATGGCTCCATTATCTTTGGGTTTTCCTTTCAGTTTCTTAGGATCTTCTACCCAGAGTCTTAAGGCAATAGAGGATTTCCTACCATGGTCTTCTTCTGCAAGTTCCACTCTTACCCCAGTATCTTCAGCAAAAAAGGCATGGCTTAATAAATCTTTAATTTCATATCTGCAAAGGATATAAAGAAGATTCAAATACAGCAAGTCAAGCAATTTCAGAAAGGTTTGTGACAAGAAATTGCTGTTAAAGGTGGAAACATTTACAGTATGTTTGGTGTCCACCCATAACAAATTTGTGTTCTTTTTGAAAAGACATGGGATTTCCCATGTTACTGAAAATGAAATGAAAGTGAAAAAAATGACATTTCCATTTCTCAGAGCTTTAGAAACATTCATACACCACAAGCACATACAGAAATGCAGACTATAGCTTTGCTCAACTTTTCTTGAGTACCTGAGCCTAAGGAGTACTAAAGAAGAGGTTCCCTCTAGGGAGTCAGTTGAGGTCCCTAAAAACTGTATTTAGGAAAGACAGGAAGCACTGAGCACTGGAGAAACTGGCAGAGACCAGCCAAAGATCAGGTTTTAAACCTGAAGCTTGAAACAATGCACAACATGTCTCCATATCCAGAGGCCACTGAGGCCAACAGGATCTGCTACAACAGCTTGTGATGAATCTACATCGACCCTCACCACACTTGGTGCTCCAGGCAGAACCTTCCAAGGGAAATGTTATGGACTGTGGAGCCAGAAATTGCTACTGGAACACCCAGGCTCAGGTCCACAGCAATGCCTCCTGACCTTATCCTTTGGAGCTGAGAGACACCACAGCACTTGTCCTGATGTTGTGTGCCAGGGAAGCAGGAAATAACTCATATTTGCATTCCCATTCTGTGCTTTCTCCTGCCCCAGAGAAAATCCACAAAGAACAAAACTCCACAGACAGTTCTGAAATCCCTGCACACACATTACTTAACACAAAACTTGATCACTTGAAACAAACCTTTCTTCCTTATTTTTGCAGATGCACTCCCCAATTATCTCTTTAATTTCAGGATCAGTAACTTTCTCAAAGCTCGCTGGCTTTATACCCTAAAAGGATAGAGAAAAACAATTTAGTTTGAAAAAGAATTGCATTATATCTCTTAATTAAGCATATTTTTCCTACATTGTACAGTTAATTCAACCCTTGGAGTAACTAATGCTTTAAAGTTGTTAGTCTTAATGCAAAACTGAGTTTAAGATTTAGGGCTACCATATTTCTAAGTACCACTGCACTTCAAAAGTAGTGCACTAGTTTGCACGAGCTCAGCAACACACAGGGCAAGTATCCCTTTTTCTTTACCACCTTTTGCAAATTTTACCTTTATATCCTGTGGACTCTGAAGTGAATATTCAAGAAACAGCCAGTTTTAAATTTCAAAAATAACCATTTTCTGAAATGATTCCTTTTATGTTTTTGCCTTAACTCTTAAAACACTAAATGAATAAAGACAAATAATCATGTTTTTTCTTCAGTTAACCAGTGCTGAGAATTAACCAAAATACCTTGGAATAGTCCATATTCCTGTTTCCCACAAACCTTTTGCTTTTCTATGACCCAAACACTCTCCAACACCCCAGTTCCCATAAAAAATTAAAAATCAACCCTAATAACAAAGCTGGAAAGCAGGAGAATATACCCAACAGCTCTGTGGTGCTCTTGAATTTCCCAGGATATTGTTAGAATCCCATTGGGAATGTGTGGTAGAGCAGGTGCAGCCTATAAATCAAGTTAAATCTCTGCCAAATGTTAACATTTTCCTGGGAATAGTTCTAGATTTGGAACAGCAACCTATGAGTGTGGCCTTTCAAGGAGAAAACTCGAATGCTCATTGCAAAAGAAAACCTGGAGAGGCAGAATCCATGTCCCCACATTGGGAGCTCAGCTCTGTAGGTGCAACAGGGATACTTTGCATTTCTTTAAGGTTAGCTGGGATTGTGTTAAGAAGATGGAGAGGATTTAAAAGGGATACACAAATGCATTCCTAGGACAGTCACAGGTCAGCTCTCCCCAATGTCTAGTATTTCAGGACCAAGACCTTAACTCAGCATGATCCACCTCAGGGTACAGAGCCTGGATAAAATAACATATAATATAAAAATAACGTAGATCTTACCAACATAAGGACAGAGTGTAGGAGAAGAGGTATGTGAGCTCTCAGCTAAGTAACAGTTCATACACTGTGTCATCATTCCGTACAGATATCCAAAATATACCAAAAAAACACCAATGGGGAACACCTGGGCAGTCAGCACAGATGTGGGGCTGGGTGTTCTCAGAACCCAGAGTGATAGTTTGTTCTGATTGCAGGCTGTGGACAGGGAGGAAGGGATGCTCCCCTAGGAACAGCCGTGGTTTCCAGCGATGCCACCTCAGCACTCTCCTGTCAAAGGATGTCAGAGCAACTGCCAGCCCCAGAGCTGGGACACTGGTAACTCCTCCCATCCACAGAAAGTCTCCTGTGGATGCCTTCCACATTTCTATTCAGCTACAGATGACACATGGCAACACAAGAAGTTATCCTTTATTTGTGATGTCCAGCTTTAAATCACAAGAGAATTGATTCCCTTTTAGAAACACATCAACATCTCCACCTACTAAACCAAGATGTGTATATGGACGAAAATTTGACAAAATTAGTTTGAGAAGAGATTATGCAATTAGATCCTACCACTTAAGGACCCAAGTATTTCCAATGAAGTCGATAAGCAGAACAAAAAGGAAACACAGTTTCCTTTATCTAAAAAACCCAGAATGTGATTAAGCACATAACTGAATGGGAATTGGACATTTAACTCCATTCAAATCCTTTTAAAGTTTCACCCTGGAATAACAGTAAATAATAGCTCATGCAGTGGCAGATAAGGAGCCCTGCAGCATTGACTTCTAGCTCATCCAATGCTGCCTTGAATTAAAAAAAAAAAAAAGTATTTCAAAGATTTTCTGCAAGTAATTCACTGAATTAAGTCTTGAATAAAATCTATGTGTGAATTTCAGTGAGGGGCTGGCAGCTCTCTGAAAATTTCTGAATATTCTGGCATCAGATTATACTTTTATGTTTTTATGAACATTCTGTTGCCATTCAAACCTCAGATTCTACTCGAAACTTTATTTAATTAATTAATTTCAGGTCAACCACCACTCCCTTTTTGTCTTAAAACTCTAGAGTGAAATATGTAATTCATAAATTTTGAAAAAAAAAAGTAATAAAAATACAGAATAGTCACACAAGACTCAGCTCCCCAATTTTGCCTCAGCAGAAAGTTGTGGGGAACCAAAAACCCCCATTCTTGTGGGAACAAACCAAACTAATCTGTACACATGGCTGACTGCCTGTGACCCACTAAAAAGAATTATTTGCTTAAGCAAACCTAAATCTTACTTATGAGATGAGGGCTCAAATTTTGTGTATTAGAAAAACCTGTCAAAAGGCATGGGAGTGCCCAGCCTGCAAAACCAAGACTGACTCCAGTGTGCCAAGGGGAGCACTTAAGAGAGCTCTGATACCTGAGTTAGAAACAAAAAAAACCAAAGCACCACCAAAAGTCAGTTCTAGCAGGACTCCTCCGTGTCCTAATTCACCCTAAAGCTACAGGAGCACAGTGTGTTCTCCAAGGAGGAGCTGGAAGAAGTTCTTGGTAATTCAAAACAGAAAGCAGGATAAATCTCTACTTGCAGCTACCCAGACAAATATATTGCTCTCATGTTTACACACCCAAGGGAACCTGCCAGCTGCTTTTTACAATTTTTATAAGCACTTCATGGGTATCTCAACACAAAGTGAACATATGAGAGGCACAAATACCATGAGGCATATCACAGTTTCTCCCAACTTAATTTCCTTACATGGTTCAGCTTGAACTTTGACATGACTGGGATGGGGCAGGGAGGGAGGGACACGCTGAGCATCTAGAAATTAGCTTTGCCTGAAAACAGCCCTTTTAGCAAATCCCTAATGACTGATTTCCAATACTGACCTTACAAACTGCTTTCACAAAAAAAAAAAAAACAAAACAACTCTTCCAACAGCACTTTACTTTCACCATCGTTTGAAGGAACACTCCTCCTCAAACATCCATTGTGTTCATGAGCCGAACAGCTAAGCTATGAATAGATGAGTAAAACAAACAAGGAGAGTGAAGTACTGAAAAAAGCTGCTTTGCCAAAGTGTTTTCACCCTGCCCATATGGTTTAGGATGCTTTTGTTCCTTACTCTTCATTAAACTCTCCAAGGCCATCTCACTGGGATGCTGCAAACCCTCCTCGCGGCACGGTGCCTCCCAGCAATGAAGGGGCTTCTATTTGCCACCAAAGGACTCATCTCATTCATTTAAACAAAAGCCATCTGTCTTCTCCGAGCATTCCCAAGGAATAATGGCACCACAACTCAAAGTATATTAGCTAAGAAATTATCCATGACAGTTTGAAAGCTGTACAGCCTCTTGTAAACTAAAGTGAACTTAACCCTACCACATGTGAAACGCAGGGCTGGCTGGGGGGCACAAGGGGAATAAGAATAATGTCATACAAATCCTTCAAATGTTAAAATATACATACACATACATAATCCAAGAGTAAAATGAGAGATCAAATAATTTCCCTTTTTAGAATTTCTCTGTCTCAAACAGGATAACTTATTCTAAATCCCTCACCACCACTTAACTCCTGTCCCCTTCTTTCTGAAGCACTTGGATTTGCAATCCATTGCCCCCCAGTATAAGGTAGCTGAGTCTACAGCCAGGCACTATACAGGACACTAAAGCTGCAACCTCCATGCTGGGGGAAAAAATGTGCTGCTTGTTTTCCAGAGGTCTAAAAACAGCCACGTGCCATTTTCCATCAGCAGAGCACACTTTGGGACAGCAACACATGATGCTTTGCAAGGTACACAGCAAACACCAGTCAAGTCAATGGTATGACTGACCCATGTCAGTCAGGAATTTCTCCAGGGGCTTTCCTGTCCCCCAGAAGGTGCCCTTTCACCCTAGAGACAGCCTGCTCTGGGCTAACACTCCACCTTCTACCTGAAGGGAAATCTCTAGTCTCACGTCATTCCTAAAAAAAGGAGAAAAAACCTTCTACCAAAAAGGTTGAAGACATGTTTCCAACTGAAACTGCACCCTGAAGTCACTGAAATGAAGGTAAAGCTCTCAATTTTACCGGGATTTTGTTCCATGACGTTAACCGTGTGCAATTATAAACTCATCTGTTTCACTCCATCTTAAAGTGAACCTAAGAGGATTACCTGCAGACCTAAGAAGATCTCCAAACCCCACAAGAAGTCCATGCAGTGGCACTCACAGCATTATCTGCCTGTTGTCGCTGTGCCACAGCCACAGCGTTTATCCCGTCTGTGTGAGCAATATGGCATTACAGCCTGAGAGTGCTGAGGAAACCTCCAGTACATGGACAAAATCAAACAATGTGAAACCTTTACAAGCAAACCAGAACACTATATAACCGTGTGGGTTGTTTTGAAGCACAGGTTTGTGCTGCTAAATCCAAGGAGGTGGCCGGAAACTCGTGGGAGATGCAGCTGCTCTGCTGTGCATTCTGCAGCACATCCCTAAGAAAACACTGGGCTGGGAAGGTCACGGACGCTGGTGTTTCATCACTGTTGTCTACATCAGAATCACTTGGCAGAATGATTAAACACAAAAAAAACCTGAGTAAGAAAAACCATCAAGTTATGCATGAAAAATGAGATTATGGCATCAGAACGAAGGGCGCAGCAAATATGCTGACCAGGAAATCACTTCAAAGTGAACTGTGGTAAATGTGGCTTGGCTCCGCTGCTTGAGAAAGATGTATTTTCTATTTATGGTACATATCCATTTTTTGTAATGTTTATACTCCATCATTCAGGCTGAAAGGGCACAGGGAGGTGACAAGTCAGAACAAGCATGTCTCGTCTGGCAGAGAAAGAAGCCCCTCTACACAGTTCCAAACATGACCACCACTGCCGTGGACATTTACATACATACAGCCACACACAGGGGAAAACAGGAGTGCAAAACCTACAACAGCAATTAAGCCATGACAATATGGTCAGGTAGAATAGGTCACTGAAATAAATTAAGCATAATAATTTTACACTACAGACATGTGAATGTGGCGTATCCTGAAATAACAATGTCTCAGAAAGGTACGGTTGGTATTTTCTACAACAATAAGGACTGCCAACATGTGTGACTTGGACAGCCAGGACTTCAGGTGTATCTTACATGCCAGTAGCAGGTAAGGGTTTGGTAGAGTGTTAGGACACAGAGTAGGAACTATTAAAAAAAAAATTATAGTGGCAAAACTCAAATCATCCCTGGCCTGTGCTGGGCAGCGGAGGGAACAGCCCAGTGGGACACAACAGGAGGCTGGAGGTAGTCTAAAGATTCTGTTGGTTATTGCTCCTTGATACAAACTCTAGCCAGCAATTCCAACCCCTTTCAATTCTATCAGCACCTCCAGGGGCTGGCACTGCCACACTGAGCCCAACACAGGAAAGGAGAGTTATTTTATTTTATACTTTTTTTAAAAAAGCATCAGGCAGCCAGACACAGTAATCAAATTTTTACAATGCATTAACCCTCAATTTAAAACACTAAAAATAGTGTTTACCTTTCTGGTACAAAAAAACCCCCAGCGTCACAAAAAAGTAAGGAAATTTCTCCCTGAGAAGCTGCAGCAGTCAGGGGTCTCTGCATCCTCTCCATTCAAGAAGGTCGGAGCCACCTTCTGCTCCAGTGAGAGCCCCAAACCTAAACTAATACTGGAAGAAAACAGCCTAACTCAGCCTCTTGGGTTTAGTCTACACTCCTTTCCTAGACTATATTTCAGCCTATAAACCCCAGGGCTCACACGAGCTGCTGCACGACCAACCCTAACTCTTCACCCAAGTGATTTTAGAATTATTGTCTGTATATGGGCACTGCCCTCACTCAGGGCAGACCCCACTGCATGGTGCTAGCTCAAGACCCCACACCCCAGACCTCTACACCTCCTCCTCCACATCCCTCGTCCCCCAGCCCCTGCGGCGCCGGGGCGACTCACGGGGTTGAAGTAGGGTCCCTTGCTGTCACCAGCTCTCCTGCGGATGCAGCTCCTCCAGAGAAGCTGTTGAGCCCACCAGAAGGTTCCTCCTGGGACAGAGGATCTCCCCCAGGACACGAGGCTCCTCCTGCACCCTCACCCCAGAGGTCCACCCCCTGCTCCTCCTTCCTGGCTGACAGTTTGTGCAGCCCATGGCATTTGACAGGGCTTTCTCCACTCCACAGGGAGCTGGTTAACCCTTTCCTTGGAACACCAGTCATGCCAATTTTGCCATCTAAGGAATCCTAGTGCCTTCGCTCCCACTGCTACTGCCCCAAATTCAGCTGAAAACCACAGTAAATGCACCCTCCATGCCAGAACCTCACATTTTTGGCTTCAGTGTTTCCTGTCAGACAGTTCTGCTTCAAAGATACCCACTGCAGTGACCTTTCAACAGCTTCTCTGCAATCACTTGTTCTTCAGACAACCATCATCTCCCATCTCTCTAAAGTTGCCATTACAAGGCCAGTTTTTCAAAGTTGTAATAATTTACCATCTAATCCTCAGCTGTGCAAAGGTTACTGTCACAGAAATCGAGCTGGCTCAGGCTTCCATCAGTGTTTAAAAAAAATGCTACTTAAGTCTGCAAATTGAAATATAACATCTAATTAGGAATCCTCTGATTAATCATTATTCTTCGCCATCTTGGATATTGTTTTGATAAGTAAGGCTTAGGAGCCTTGCAAAGCCTTAATTACCCATATTCCAGATGCCTAAGAGGTGTACACATTGCTTCTCTGGGTGCACAGAGCAGTGAGAGATTGATGTTCTCCGTGGCTCCAGATGCACAAATACATTCCCAGTAACAACAGCTAAGCATGGCTGATATCAGGTACCAGACTGGTATCACATGCAGGAGACAAGGCTCCAGAGCCTAAAATTAGAAGAGCCTCCTGCAGCCACCCTGTGAAGCTCTAGAGTCCAAGGAGGTGTCCCCTAAGCTGCACACACAGGTGGCATTTAGAGCACATCTGAAGGACCACACACCAAAACAGAGACAAAATCCCTTGTGCCAAAGGCAGTAACACTGCAATAAAGCACCACAACGTGGAACAATTGGCTATAGAATCATGGAATGGTTTGGGTTGGAAGGGACCTTAAAGATCAGCTCGTTCCAACCTCCCTGCCATGGGCAGAGACATCTTCCACTACAGCAGGTTGCTCCAAGCCCTGTCCAATCTGACCTCGAATAACAGGGACTTAGGCAAGAAGCTGCCTTGAGCCATCAAACCTCTCCCATGTCTCTGAGAAGCTGGAGCCCATGGTGTGGTGCAGAGTGCAGTCAGCAGCCAGCAACCCATGGCTGCAAATACTCACCTCCCTGCAGAGCCACAGGGAGCTGCTCCAGCCACAGGGACGAACTGAGCACTTTCTGAGGCCTTCCATGGTTTCAAAAATGATTTCTGAGTAGCTCTGTGTTGAAAGCAACACTCTTAAGAAGAGCTAAACTACCAGGCATCAGTTAATTGGAAAGATTCAGCTTTATCAAGCTACAAATGTCAGCTTGCACAGTTTACACAAAAATGGGATAAAGCTGCTTCCCTTCTTTGGATGTGGCTTCCTGCTCTCAGAAAGTCACAACAGGGACATTCCCCTGTGTCTGATGATACTGATTTCAACTTTTAAATTCCCTCTTGAGCAGCCTGAATTCTCCCTCTCCCTCCAGGTCAGCATCATCCCAGCTGGCCAGTACAGCAAGCTACAAGAGTACCAACTTCCCAGTATCCTGGTCTTCAGTGGTGGGAAAAGACAGATACTGAACAATACAAACTATACCTATAAAAATTACATTGCACATAAACCCCTCATCTGGCACAGGTGAGTGTTTGGTATCTGGTGACACCATCTCTATACCCAGTGTGAGGGATCAGCACACAGCACACCAGAAGATGCAATTCCCACCTGGAGCAGTGTTTGCTGCCAGCAGGATTTCACAGCACCACATCTCAGAGATTCACAGAATGGTTTGGATTGGAAAGGACCTTTAAAGGCCATCCAGTCCAGTCCAACCCCCTGCAATGAGCAAGGACACCTTCCACTATGCCAGGTTGCTCAGAGTCCAATCCAACCTGGCCTTCAACATTTCCAGGGATGGCACATCCACCACCTCTCTGGGCAACCTGTGCCCGTGTTTCACCACCCTCAGCACAAAAAATTTATTCTAGCCTGATTCCCTAAACCTCTTGGAGAAGGCAAGTGGTCTCAAATACCTTTCAAAATCAATCAGTTATTACTAAATCTCATTTGGGGAGATTTTTGCTCATAACAAGCAGTCAGATAAAAGGAATAGAAACTAATTCTGAGACCATGCTTTTGGAGACTGAGAGATGGATCTGTTCAATGTATCTCCTATGTAAGCCTAACTACTCTTTCTACAATATAGATGCAAGAAATGAATCTGTAGCTAATTTTTGACAGTTTTAGTGCAGCTTTTTTTCAAGGATTACCCTTGTCCTGTGCCAAATGTGCAGACTGCATGTTCTGGTGATGCACCAGGGCCAAACCACACAGCTCACCTTCTTCTTTGGTAGCAATTAGATGGAAAGAAGTGCTTGGGAAAATCTTTGCCAAACCAGTCAGTGTGATTTAATCCACCTTGAAGAAAACCTCCTGCACCTCTTGGTTTCACTCAACCAAGTAGAAGATAGGAAAACCACCACTGCCAAAGCCTTTGGCAAGTCCCATTTCTCTGCAGTCAGTGATTTGTAATCCAAGAGCATCTTACAGACTCAGGAGTTTTCTCAGGCATTTGCAGCCTAGCTCATGTAGACAAACACATTTATCATCTGGAGTGAGGGTGTTGGAGAGAGGATTTTAGCCAGTGCAGACATTACTTTAAACTGACTAGTCCTCCAGTCTAACTCACTGAAAATGCAGCAAACCCATTACCCTGGTTCCTGCCTGGGGATACCAGACCTTGCTGAGTTCCCAAATGCACATCTAAAGCTCCCCTGGCTGACTCCAAAACTAGATATTGCTATCTTTGCCCTTTTGTACCTTCAGAGAATTTGCTACACATACCAACAGAGAGAATCTGGGCTGGAAATCCAAATCAAACACCCTCCACTGCATAAAAAACCATTTAAACTGTAACCTAAAAGTTAGTCCTTTTAGCTTTGTGGGAAACTTCATAGATCACAGAATCACAGCATGGTTTGGGTTGGAAGGGAACTTAAAGTCCATCTCATTCCAACCCCTACCATGGGCAGGGACACCTTCCACTAGCCCAGGTTGCTCCAAGTCCCCTCCAACCTGGTCTTGGACCAGTTTGTCTGGGGACTTGGGTGACAGCTTCCAACTGGAGGAGGGGAGATTTAAATCAGGTATTAGTAAGAAATGCATTTCTGTGAGGGTAGTGAGGTGCTAGAGCAGGTTGTTCACAGAAGCTGTGAATGCCAACCTTATCCAGTCTGAGAAGTCCTCATTTAGAGGGCAAGACTAGAGCAAAGGTTTTTCCCTGCTCATTCTTCCAAGTTTTATGTATTTGTGGCTGCTGGAGATAAAATCAATCACAAAGGTCACTGAAAATATTTGATGCAGCTGCATCACAGTCAAACACAACTATTCCAACTGTGGAATTACAAGCCTACACATAAACCTGCAACAGGTTTGTGTCCCCCAGACCTCAGATACCTCAACAACACAGCACTCGCATCAAAACAAGCTTTGAAACCTTCAGGTGCCACAATCCAGTAGAAATTAAGGAGATGTACTCACACAGGTTACTTTTCGGTAGATTTGAGCAGCATTCTGGCATTCTGAGTAAGGGTATTCTGAGGTAGCCATTTCCAACATGCACATTCCAAACGCATAGACATCCACGGATTCATCGTAGTGTTCCTCATACATTTCTGGGGCCATGAATTCTGGTGTACCTACACAGACACACACAAAGAGCATGTCCATTTTTAATAGGAGTCTGAATGGCTTGAACCACAAGCTTTTTCACCTGTAAGAAATGTACCCAGTACAACTGTGCGTGGGCCCGTGCCAGGTTATTTCAAAGGAGCTCAAGCATCCTCCAGGGAAGAAATCCAAAGTCAACACACGGATTTACATGCCCGTGGCTTGCTGGTAATAATCCAAAGGGGGAAGGGGAGAGTGAGGGGGAAAGAAAAATTAAGAAAAAATATCAAAATTTTAAAAATGAACAAGAAAATGAGCTATGACCTACTGCCTGCCCACACTGCAAGTGATGGAATGGTTCCTGCCTGGGTGGAGAGAGGGATGTGTACAGGCTTGGGGATGTGAAAAGGGGAGAAGGAACAAGAACTTCTGCTCATTTTTATCAATGCAAATTTGCATTTTTTTGTTTCCTCCAGATATGCAGTGCAACCCCCGGCAGACAGACAGCACTTTGAAAGCCAGTAGTACCACAAATCACCTACAGAGTCACGCACAAAACATCAAACCTAATTCTGTCACTGGTTTAGTGGGACAAATCAATGAGGCTACTCACAGAATAAGGTCCTACTCAACAGGGATTAGGATGTCAGAAATCTGATGCAACTGGGTAAATACAAAGTGAGGCTCTGTACTCATGGCTTCCTAACAGGGAGCTGCAGCTTTGGGACAAGCAGCAACTTACAGCACCTGTAGCATTTGCTCAGCAAACTACTCTGAAAAGGGTGAGCTTATAAAGCAAAAAGGGAAACTATTAACACTTGGATCATTTATTCCAGGAATTGTATCTCATACTGCAATTCATGCTTAGGAGTCATGCCTAGTTTATTCCCTTTTTTACATGTAGAAAGGACAAAGGAAGAGAGATCAGTGCAGTTGTGTGCTGTGGGAGAGGAGCAGCAAGCTGTCAGGATGCCAAAAGGAGCATGAGAGGTCTCGGGCCATGAGAAAGACCCAGATAAACTCTGCCTGTCCAACCTCAGCACCCAAACTGCCCCCAGCCCTGGCAGATACCATCAGTAATACGGGTATTGTGAATAATTCCAGTAGTAATGCTTGTTATTACTTTGTTATGACATCTCTGCATCAGTAGCAAAAGCACAACTGTAATTAAAGTAACATGTAATGAGAGGAAATAGTTCTTGCATATAGAATCACAGAATGTTTTGGATTGGAAGGAACCTTAAAGACCATCTTGTTTCAAATGCCTTGCCATGGGCAGGGACACCTTCCACTAGCCCAGCTTGCTCCAAGCCCTGTCCAACCTGGCCTTCCACATTTCCAGGGATGGGCAGCCACAGCTTCTCTGGGCAACCTGTGCCAGGGCCTCCCACCCTCACAGTAATGTGTTTCTTCCTAATATTTAATCTAAATCTCCCCTCCTCCAGCTGGAAGCCATCATCCAAGACCCCAAACAAGTTGTGGAAGTCTCATCCCTGGAAGTGTCCAAGACTAGGTTGGAGAGGACTTGGGAGGAACCTGGTCTAGTGGAAAGTGTCCCTGCCCATGGAAGAGATTGGAACGAGGTGATCTTTAAGGTCCCTTCCAAACCAAAGCATTCTGTGGCTCCAGGACTCCATGACTTGTCCTAAACTTCTTTTATGGCAACATAAAAGATGACTCCCAAAATTAGGGTCTGTCAGTTAAAAACTGCTTCTGCACATTTTCTGCAGGAGACTCAGCCTAACTCACAAAACAAGCCTCAGCACATGCATTGCTGTAAAATTCATTTTGCAAAATGTAGGACTGATCCCTTCCCTCGTTTATGTCCCTTCCACCTAAAAGACACTCGTTCCTCTAGTCTTGGTCAGTCAGCTGGACTTGTGTCACAGAAGCTCAGCCCAGTGCCTGCTCCCTGGGTGTCTCTCCCAGCTGTCACCCAGGCAGAGGCTGCTGCTCAGAACGGGTTAACAGCTGCCACAGGGAAGGGTTCTGGAGCTGCTGCCTTGTTTTAGAAGGAACACTACTTAGCAGCAGGAGCAAATCTCATGAATTACAGAGCATTTAAAGGAAATCTGAAAATGTGACAGCAACAGTCTAAGAAGCAAATGGAATTCTTGACACCGTTCCAAAACAGCACAAAAACGACATTTCCCCCCATTCCTTGGGGTGGGGAAGGAATACATACAAGTATCCTTCAACAAAACAGAGCACCTAAACGTAAAGCTGTTCAGCATCCCCTCAGCTCCTCTTGGCAGGACGAGGTTTGCCCTGGCTCAGCTCCCACAGAGACACTGCAAGGTCAGGGTAGCACCAGCAATGGCACGGGCACAGCAAGGGAGGAACTGGACCCCAGCCATGCTGATTTCATCCCTCCAAGCCAATGTAAAATTGCAGCTACTAATATGCCTTTAAAGCTGCTACCTCTGCAGAGCAGGCAGAATTACTCATCACCAGTGTTCCCAAGCCTTCCTAATTCTCTCCCTGGAGCAGCACTACTCATGAAAATGATAAGCTCGGTTTTATTGCCAAAATGAATGCAGCCACATTGCCAGCATCCTGCAGCCCTTTCAGCATCCAATTCCTTTTTGACACGAGTATATATTGATGGTGTTGTGTTCACAACTAATTTTACAAAAACCTGTATTGGTATTACTAATATTCTTCCCAATATTGGTATTACTGATATTACTCCTTGTATTGGTGCTACTGATACTATACCCAGTATTGGTATTACTGGAATTATTCACAGTACTGGTATTACCAATACCCAATATTGGTATTACTTACATTATTCCCACTATTGCTATTACTGATATTATTCCATTATGTCCAATGGACAATTGTTATCCTGCAAAACAATTATCTGAAGAATTACTGACCTTCAACAGAAAAAAGACCATCAATTATTAGAAGTTAAAAACCAGAGAAACTTAACAAATATAAACCAACATGACTTCACTAAAAACCATGAGGTTAAGCAGACCTAGAGCAGCCAAGCATATATCCAAAATTTCTATCTTTTTGACTTCAATGATACTGGGCTCCCTAAGCATTAAGGACAATATTTTTGTGCAAGTGATTGCAAATAATTATACAAGAATAATAATATCTGAAAATTTGAGATGCCAAAACAATTATTTAAGGAACTAGTGCTGGAAAGATAAGGTGCTATTTTCATAGCTAGTCAGGGACCAGTGGCTGTCACTATCAGTTTGCCAACTCTTACTGACTAGAATCTAATTTTCATTTATATTGTAAGCTGAAATACATGCATGGTATCTCCTCTTCCCCTTCCAGCAGCATTACTCAGGAACTTGCAGCTTCCCAGAAACATCACCTGCAGGTCTGAACTAGGGAGACTGGATACAGAAGCTTCTCTGGGTGAAAAAGACAAACTGAGAATTTAGGAAAACATGACATTTGCACCCAAAACACTCACTGTAACTTTTGCAAGGGAATGATGTCCTTCCACAGTCATTTGGAAAATCTTCTCCCAGTTCAAGCAAACCCCAGTTCTAACACTTCTCACATGGGCACCAACCCAGGGCATTGGATACAGCATATCACATGGTTTGGGTGGGAAGGAACCTGAAAGCTCATCTCATTCCACCCCCTGCCATGGACAGGAACACCTTCCACCAGCCCAGGTTGCTCCAAGCCCTTTCCAACCTGGCCTTGGACACTTCCAGGGATGGGGCAGCCACAGCTTCTCTGGGCAACCTGCACCAGGGCCACCCCACCCTCACAAGGAAGAATGTGTTCCTAACATCTAATGTAAACCCACCTTCCTTGGGTTTAAGGCCATAACCCCCTGTCCTATCACTGCAGGGCCCTGCAAAATGTTGCTCTCCTGCCTTCTTGTAGGTCCCTGAAGGCACTGAAAGGAATTCAAGTGAAAATTTCTTTACATTTTGTAGCTGCTTATTATTTTTTTAATAACTTGCAGACTTAGTTTCAGCAGACCCTGCCAGGGTGTGGGCAGGACGAGAGCTGCAGCCTGTCCTGTGGCTGGCCCCAGCACTGGGCTATGATGTTCCAGCCAGCCCAGCTCCCCACAGTCTCCCTGGAAAGGAGAGAGGCACCACAGCCTCTCCTTTCAGCAGCAGCAGCAACCAGCCCCATCCCAGCACCACTGGAGGCAGAAGAATTCCCAGGGCTTTCCCAGGTTTCTGCTGTGCTCCCTTGCTAGGGAGAGCACAGGGTATCCTTCCATCCTTCCTCTTCCCCATCCTTCTGATTCTCCCTCTAAGCAGGCACGGAGCCTGTTTTCAAAGGGGGACACACAAGCTGCTGAACACTTGCTGCTCCTTTTGAGGGAGAGAGAAGGATTTGTGGATCCCAAGTAATACTCCATTTAACGAGCCAAGGAAAAAGTGCTTTACCACTATGACACAGGAGGAAAGAGAAGAGGAAGTTAGGATATCATTATCTACTGACTCCTATTTTTATAGTAGTATAAAGGCAACAGTCCTAAACATACTCTAACCTCTACTGTCAACTTAAAAACCAACTAATGCAAAATGGGAAAGAAAGATATTAAATAGACAACCACGATACCGCCCGAGGGAAGCCAAGGAGGACAGGAGCATTACCTATTACACTTTTGGCAAATGAAGCTCTCTTGAGGGTTGCCAGACCCAAGTCTCCTATTTTCACAGATCCAGTTGGTCCAGTAATAAAAATATTGTCACATTTCAAGTCTCTGTGAATTATTGGTGGAGTTCTTGTGTGCAAGAAAAGAAGACCCTTCAGGATCTGCCGGCACCAACTCCGCAGGACTTTTGGTTTCATCACTTTGAATCTCTTCAGATACCTAGAGCACAAACATACACACAAGTGGGAAATGAAAAGGAAATGAAAACATTTTATTAGAGATTCCAGGGGCTTTAACAGCTGAAACTCCACTATGGATAAAAGCCCCTTATTAGATGCCATAATAGCAGCACAGAAGTATCCCAAAATTGAAAGAAATAGATCTTTTCAAAGCAGGAATTAGAGCATTCAATTTTAGGGAGGAAGATAATAAGCATTTTTTCTGCAAATACAACCAAATATTTGCAAGTTTAATAGTTCAGCAATTTATTTCATGCAGAGAACAGCTTTAGAATATGTTCATATACTCAAATCAGAACCATACTGCAGTTTAATTTTAATCACAAGACTTTGACCTCTGTACCATACATCTGCATTTCTTTCCATTTACCTGAGGCACTGATTGGGAGGGGACTTTTGGGGAAGATGTAGGACCTGCTAATGCACTGGCAGAGGAGCACACTGGCTGAGTACTGCTCCCATTGGGGCTGAAAATCTGTTCCAGAATTCATGCCAACTGCTTTATATCAACCTTAACAAGATTGCCAGTACCAGAAGCTATTAATTAATATTGTTTAGGAGATAACCTAGAGCACCTTCTGCTTCTAAAAGCGATTCTACCATTCAAGTGCTATTCCGCTTGAATTTCCTGACAAAACATGCAAACACAAGCACAAAAAGCAGGCACAAAACACACCCCGACAAATCCAAACGTCGCAGGCGGAAAATGAAACAAGCCAGAGAATAGCTTCGAGTTGCATAACCGAGACAGAGGAGCAGGAAAGGGAGATGGGGGCCAAAATCCTGCCTGTCAAACCGCTGCGGTTCAAACGCAGGGACAAATGACAGGCACCAGAGAACAGCTCCATTTTTTGCTTTTATCTGGAGGTGGCTTTTTTCAGCACATGAAAGTAGGATTTTGCTATAAATTCCCAGTGCTATTCTTAGCCCCCCTCGCCGGGAGCACAGTACTTACGTCTTCAGCGTTCCAGAGGTCATCAGCTCGGTAACCAGCACGATGCATCTCTTGCCTTTCGCACACGATTCCCAGAAGTCGTAAAACCTCACAATGTTTGGGTGCTGTAGACCTTTCAGCATTTCTGCTTCCTCTTTAAACCTCTGCCTCTCCACTTTTGTGAGCTTTCTGTCCTATAAGCCAAAAAGGGAGACATTATTAGTAGTGACGGGCAAAAATAAAGGCACTGCGTTGCCAGGGTATTCAGAATTTTAGATTTGTTTTATGCTTGTGTCAAGAGCAATTATAAAATCTTTTATGTAAGAGACGAGCAGCATGGATGAACTAGGGCACTTGCCCTAAATCCAGTGTCAAGAAGACAAAGAGATGCCTGTGCTACGCCATGCTCATGACAGCACCAATATTTCAGGCACCGTGAACACACCCACGGATTGATGGATCAACCCTCAGCTATTTCTTCATGTTTGGGTTTTGTGAGGCTCATTATCCAAGGGATTATTACCCACAGGATTTCATTTCCAGGTATGAATGTTCTCCCAGCTGGGATGGCTCCCTCCACCCACAGCTGCTCCTGGATGCTCCAGCAGGGACCACCAGCTGAGGTCCCCGCTCACCACACAGGCTCTATAGCCCAGCCTGTTTATCTTGGGGTAAATTAAAACCATACCACCCTCTAAAAATACTCAAACACATCCATTTTCCTAGGTGTTTGCTGTTCTGCCTAATTTTACAGACTTTTCCCTTTTTTTGGCAAAGGAAGTGTTTCTTCAGTCTCTTCCATAGGCTGCTCACACAGGGAAACACTTTAGATTAGAAACGTGAAAATGTCATGTTCTACTACTCTGGTTTTCCTATGGAATTTCAGGGCACTTCCCATAAGCTCCTGGCTGTGACATGACCCTGCCCAGCCCATGCAGAGCCTCTCTCCCCCTCCCACAGCCCAGCAGAAGCTCCTGGGCTGCCTGGACCCCACCAGTACAAGGAGAACGCCAACAGGCAGCTTGGATACTCACTCTGACCTCTTTAGACCATGAAACAGAGCAAAAGGGGAGATCCACCCCAGACCCCACCACCACGCCTGCCTGGTTTGCCCCCTGGCCAAAGAACTGCTCTCCCCTGCCCAAGAAATGGAGATTTTGGGGTCTTAAGAAAGCCCAGTCGTGTAACTGCTCTTACTCAAAGAGCCAAAGGCTCACCAATCACCAGGATTAATGAGTTCATGTTTTAACCTCAGACATCTTTCCTTTCTTGGGTCATTCAGGCATGTGTACATGAGCTGTGCTCTCATACACATGGACTGAATTTAATGGGAACCCAGCTGATCTGTAGCCAAGCTGCACAGGGATCAGTTCCTGTCCATTTCCACAGCCTGCCCTCACCCACAATCCCAAACAATGCAAGATGGGAACAAGAATTCCCACGGCTACAAACAAGTCAGCTTCAGGCAGAGACTTCCCAAGAGGAAACCCAGGGCTGGAGCCACGATTTGGCTCTTCTTGGATGACAGAAACCCTGCCCCTAGTGCTGTGTGTGCATGGGGGGAGCGTTTCCATTTACACCAGGGCTGCTGAGGGAGTTCTCAGTTCTCTCCAAGATTCAGGGAGCAGCATGAGGGCTGACACTGTCCCGAAGCAGCAGCAGCCGTCGGGGTGGGCAGGGCAGGGCGCCTGTGGGTTCCACTGCCTGGGTCCCCCAGAGCAGCCAGGAGCACCCCCTGCCCTCCACGGGGACAGCAGGCAGCAGCAGCAGAGAGCCCACAGCTGAGAGCCAGGCAGCAGCTCTGCTGCTCTGGATCAGCTGACTTTTTTATAAGGTACAGAAAAAGAAAAGGGAGGGGGGAAAAAAAGGCAGGCTGTCTAAATGAGCCAGGCCAGAAGAGACCCGGAATTGCTCTCAAATCCATCACTTCTTCCCTGCTGCTGAGTTTCCTCCTAATTTAAACCCTGTAGAATAAATCACACACTGCTATTAGGGAGGAGAAGGAGCAAGACCCTGTGAAGGCAAGAAGAGCAGAGTGGGAGCTAGCAGAGAAAGGGAAAGGCAGTCACACAGATCCAGCAGATTTGCAAAAACTTTCCAATTTAAAAAAAATAAAAAAAGTAATACCATAGCCTTTTACTCTTATTTCCAGATTTCTGAGCACTGTGAGAACTTTTCCACCGCTACTTTAATTGTAACTTTTAAATATATCCTTCAGTAGACAATCATATTCTGTATATTCTACATATTATGAGCGCACATCATTTGGGCAACTGCAACAAAGTGATGGTGGAAGACAAATGTGTGCTTTATCTGTTAACTACAATAGAAAGAATCTGGATTTTTTGCATCAGAATGACAGCTAAGCATCATCCTCTAGCTGGAGAGGCAAGGTGAGGGCCAGGGCAGAGCAGCCACTCCTGCTGGCTGCAGCCTGCACCACGGGAGGAGTCCCTGCTGCCATAAGGGCTCAACCACCCTCCTCTAAATCCCTCCAGGCTGAACCTGACACATGAGTCGCTGGTGAAAGCATAAGCTGACTGACAGGGCTTAACAGTTGAAGTGTTTTCTACTCTGAAGAAGCAAAACCACCTGTTTAACTGCGTGACTCAGGGTTTAATCCAAACCCGAGAAACCTTTACTGAGGTCACAGACACTTATTCCCCACCATACAATCCACACAAGGTGAAATGTCCTCATCCCAAAGCTAAGGGTATAAACCTGAAACAACCTTTGGGCATTACACATTTAAGCTGGAGAACAGGATTCTTTGGAAAGGTCATGCCAAGGAAAGGTAATCACAGACTCATGGAATGGTTTGGGTTGGAAGCGACCCTAAAGATCATCAGGTTCCAATCCCCCTGCCATGGGCAGGGACACCACCAGGTTGCTCCAAGTCTCATCCAACCTGGCTTAAATCCACTCAACAAGACTTAAGGCATCTTTTGCATAACTCAGATTTATCAAAATTTGGGTGAATAAAGCGTGTTTCCAGACTCACCCAAGGAGTCAAAACCTCTGTGCTCTCTGCAGCAGCAGATGTGTCCAACCTCTGGACAGGACACTCAGGGATGCCGAGATACACACGACAGCCCTGGTCCTCCAAGTGCAACAGCAGCATCCCACTGAGTGACAAACCAGCTCCACTGCAGTCATGGCACTGCTGCTACCCTGGGCTTCTTCAAGGCATGAGCCTTGAGACTCACAATGCATTCTTCTCAATGTGACCCAGGTGATATCAGTATCAGTTTGCAGGTATTGACACATCTGCCCGCATTTTAAGGCATTCACACCCCTTGGCTCTCTCCCTCCTTGCTGGGACACAAAGTCCAGGCTCAGGAGGCAACACTGTAATTCCATTTCAAAGAACTGGAAGCTGCCCAAGTCCACTACTCAGCACCAAGGTAAAATAAAATCCAACCCTCCAAAGCCCACAGCAATCACACTGAGCTGGCTCAGCTTTGCCAGGCAAACTGGAGATAAACAGAACCGAGCAAGATGCAAGACAGGGACTCATTTTGAGTTACTGCTAGGAGAGAATCTGCACATTTAACTGGTTTCCCTGTCTTAATAAACTGTGAGGAATACTCTTGCCCCTCTGCTGAGACTTTGACATTTTCTGATCACAGCTCCTGGGCTCCTGTGCCTCTCTGCTTACAGAGCTCTCCTGTGGGCACAGCCCACATGAGCTGCTGCTCACAGTGGACCTTGGGCACAGCACCCCTGTCACAGACACTGTCCTGTCACACAGACAGTCCACAGGGCTTGGGCTCCCTCATTTCACCTCTCCTACAGGTAAATACCATTAATGGGGCTGGGGTTATACAATGGATGCTGCATCATGACATGCAATCTGGCAGGCAGGTGTTAAACCAGTGGTCAGAAGTGGTTCTACATTGTGAACTGCCTTTTCTTCACTCCTTCTCCTGGTTTTCCTGTTTCAAATCAGATTATAAATGCCCACTTAGTCTTAAGCATCAAACCACTCAAAGCTATGCATTTGTTTTTTTCAAAGAATAAACAATTCTGAAGGAGCTGAAGGAGGGTAGATTTAGATTGAATATGAGGAAGAGATTCTTCCCTGTGAGGGTGGGGAGGCCCTGGCACAGGTTGCCCAGAGAAGCTGTGGCTGCCCCATCCCTGGAAGTGTCCAAGGCCAGGTTGGACAGGGCTTGGAGCAACCTGGGCTAGTGGAAGGTGTCCCTGCCCATGGCAGGGGGTGGGATGAGATGAGCTTTAAGGTCCCTTCCAATCCAAACCATTCTGGGATTTCATGAACTCCCAATCAGCACTTTACAGCCTCAGTCTTGGTAAATCCCACACCCATTCAAACTGGAGTAGCATGATGTTTGCAGCAGAAAGCTACAATAAAGTGAATCCATAACCAAATTTCTGCTAATCCAACACATGTTTGCTCTCTGCTTCTTCCTGCTCATCACAGACAGGGTGAAAAAATGCCTCTCTCTGTTCATATAAAATTTATCCCTTCATTCAGTTCCTTAGTAGGGAACAACAGCAGAAAAGGGAATTAGTAAGTAAACGTGTTAACAAAAGGAAAAGGGAAAGCTACGAATTAAATTTCTGGAATGGCACCCAAATTAACAGCAGGAGCATGTTCTGTTAGTCATCCCCAAGCATCATTTCCTCCAGGTTGTAACATATGGGTTCTGATTAAGGCTCTGAAAGTTATACAAGCAGGAGACTGGCTTTCACCTGAGCCTTCAGAAGATTTCCAAGATTAAAAAATGAGGTCAAGTTTCTTCCCTAATTCTTTGTGAGGGGCAAACAGACTTGGGAATCAACTCCATCCTCCCATCATGAAGAAAGGGACTCTTACAAATAAGACCACACAAATTTTTCACATTCAGTGCCTAGGACTGTGCAGGAGCAGGGTCTGGAGCACAGCCGTTGCCAACCAGAAAGTTGTGCTGCTTTGCAGTTCCACAGTTGTTTCTTTAATTTCCTCCTTTTTAAGTCTTGAATTTTCACTAGCAATAAAAAAAAAAAAAGCAACTTTAAACACTTGGATATTTTACCTATACTTCTTGACCTAAGGACTAGTGCCCAGCTAGCCTATAAATACTGTTTTCTTTGGAGGAGTTGTGTTTGTTGGGTTTTTTTCCTTTAATGCTTAAATTGACATAGCTGCATTTACTGATGGCTATTTAATTTTGCCTCATTTTGGACAGATCAAGATCTGTCTGGTGAGACAAGTAGGAGCAGTAGGTCAGCAAAGGAGGGCAGGGCTCAGTTCTGTCACGCAGAAGCTGTAACATCCCTGACCCATATTAGTGATGAAGAAAGGAAAACCAAAGAGGTGCTTCTGACCCAGGAACAGAAATCAAATACCCACATCAGCAGAATGAACATCTGCTCAGATCATTAAATTTTCACATCTGTGTGCCAAATATGTCCTTTTGCTCATGTACCACAGCTACTCTTCTAATCAGAGATGGCCTCGAGACATGAATCAGCCATGGGACCCACTGCCAGCTGTCTCCTCTGGAGCTGCCTGTTGGTTTCCTGTGGATTTATGAGCAGGTTCTGGTCTGCCCTACAGTCAGGAGTTCGGTAGTGACAGGCACTGCTCTGGGGGAACAGCCAGCAGACCCCAGACAGGGTAAGTCAGGGACTTGCTCTGCTCAACAGTGAACTTCAGACATGTCAGCTGGTACCTGCACCTGATTATTGTTTCATAGAATCACAGAAGGGTTTGGGCTGGGAGGGACCTTAAAGCCCATCTTGTTCCACCTCCTGCCCTGGGCAGGGACACCCTCCACTAGCCCAGGGTGCTCCAAGCCCTGTCCAACCTGGCCTTGGACACTTCCAGGGATGGGGCAGCCACAGCTTCTCTGGGCAACCTGTGCCAGGGCCTCACCACCCTCACAGAGAAGAATTTCTTTCTAGCTAAATCTACCCTCATTCAGCTTAAAGCTATTCCCCTTTGTCCTGTCCCTCCACCCCTTGTCCCAAGTCCCTCTCCAGCTCTCTTGGAGCTCCTTTAGGCACTGGAAGGGGCTCTGAGGTCTCCCCAGAGCCTTCTCTTCTTCAGGCTGATCAGCCCAGCTCTCTCAGCGTGCTCAGTAAATTTTGTACTGTCAGCATTGCCTCCGTAGGGAAATGGCACCACATTACAAAAGTTTCCAAATTTTAAATATTCAAAGGCCTTTAGAAATAAAGATGAATGGTAACACATTTTAGAAGAAAAAAAACCCCAAAACTATTTTTTGTCTTTAAACTGAAAACTTCATTTATTTAGCGCAATCACGTTTTGCATTTCACATTAAGACTTGTCTAATCCACTCAGAGGAATCAAGGATTTCTCCCAGAGACATAACTGGGAGCCAAAGCAGGCTCAGACAGGCAGCAACTGGGACTGTGAAGGACTCAAGGTATCACTGAAGTGGCTGCTCTCATGTACCAGCTCTGTCTTCAGTATTATCCTGCCTATGCTATAAATTTTTAAAAGCATCCATGACCTTTCATTCCCACACCCTGTGCACTCAGTTATAAGCACGTAGCCCTTAGAGCAAACCTCAAGGATAAACCCCCCTCGCTGTGAACAAACAGCACATGCCATCAGACAACTTGCAAATCAGGAAAAAAAAAAATTTTACAGCTTCATTCCCTATCAGCATCCAGCCAACATTCTTCTTCACTAAGTCACCCTCGGTGAAGCTACAGCCTGCCATTTGTCAGCAGCGTTAGTGAAGCGCAGGGAGGGTTCCCAGGGGGAGCTCGTTTTCCAAAGGCATAAAAAGCAGTCCTTGTCCCCATGGATACTCACAATTCAGTGAACAGGAGCTATGGAACAGGATGAGGGACTTATTTGCCTGAGTCATTGCTAGAAATCTATAGAAAATTAGGAGTTGAATTTGTGGCTAAATTTGGCACGGCAGAAAAGGCTGAGCGTGCTTTTTTTGCTGGATGCAATCATAGCTTGCTGCTTTTTAAATTGATTAAGGCACGTGTCAAAGTCTAATGGCAGAGGAATGATGGGATTCACATATTCTACTGAACCTCAGAGCTTCAGAGGCTCGTCCTGCAAGGGCAGGAGGAAGGGGAGTCACCTCAAATCACCAGTCTCAACTCGAGAGCCACAAAAACACCCAAGAAACCCAACACCGTGGGCAGAGCCTGTGTTTTCCAGGTGAAAACCTCCCAACACAACTGCACCATGACAACCAATGCTTTAAAAAAAAAGTTCTTGTCATAAGCAATTGAATTAATTGCAGGTAGCACCTCATTAACTTCCTTAATTACCAGTGCTTGACAGGCTCCACATAAGCTTGTGATTGCTGATGAAATACCAAAACAGTTCCGGATTGCCTCGCTAAACGCCTTTTTCAAAGGAATCTCTGAGATCAATGTGTGAAAAAAGCTGGATAAATCCCACTACACCAGATCCCCTCTGAAAGGAAAAAACCCAAACCACCACAAAACCACTTTAGACATGCCATGAGAAGCTGGTATTTCAGTATTTTCTGGAATCCCTTCTGAGCCCAGCATTCATCAAAGTTTATGCAACAACTGGTAGTGTTTTTAAAAACCATTTTGCTTCACCTACTTCCTGTCACCCGTAAACACCGTGTTTTGGTATGTAAATTATCCTCGTTTTAGCGCTGGATTTGTCAGCACCGCGCACCAGTGGAGCAGGGATGCTCCAGCCATGCCTGGGAGGCTCAGCCGTGGGCTGGCCCTCAGTAGGGGTGGAGAGAGAGATTTCAGTGCTGCTGCCTAAAAAAATCACCTTCAGAGAGGTGGAATGGGGATGGGGAGCAGAGAGGTGCCACTGCCCCGGCACCAGTCCAGAGGCAGGACACTCAGCATGCTGAGAGAAGCCATCCTGTTTTTCCTTCTTCCAGCTTATCTCCTTACTCTAGGATAGTATTAAAATTAACTTGTTTTATAGGTATGAAATCCCCCTCCATTTTTTGGTCCAGTGGAAGGTCATGGGAGTTGGAACAAGATGACTTCTAAGGTCCCTTCCAACCCAAACCATTCTAGGATTCTGATTCTCTTTGCTACGTAGACATGGTATTTTTCCTAAAGAAGAGGGATGCCACCCCTTGCCTGCTGGAGAACCTGCCAGAGAAGCCCTACCACCCTCTGCACCCTGCC